ACCGCCCCCGCCTCCACCTCCACCGCCGCCACCTCCGCCACCTCCGCTACCACCGCCACCGCCGCCGCCACTCCCGCCTCCACTGCTGCCACTAGCACCCCCACCCCCGCTACCACCTCCACCGCCACCCCCACTCCCTCCGCCGCCTCCACCTCCACCGCCACCGCCCCCACTGGCCCCACCCGCTCCCTTGCCCCCCTTGCCCTTGCCAGAGCGGCGTCTCCCGCTAGGGGCAGACGCCGCACCGACCGACTCAAGACCAACGAGGTCTGCCGCAGCGGCAGAGGCGACAGAGGGCAGGAGAGGGGAAGGAGAACACCCCTCAAAGATGGGGGCGCGGGGGTCACCTCGAGAGGCTCCTACAGCAACTATGCTCTTCTCTGCTGCAAGGAGGGCCTTCTCGAGGCTGTCGACTGTGAGGGTGGTGGGACAGACCGCGAGGAAGTGGTCCCGGACTACACGAAGGGAGTCAGGGAGGCGAGTGACTAAGAAGTAGAGAGTGATGTACATGGGGGGGGGGTTCTTGGCGCAGAAGTCAGCAGGAAGCGCAGCGCGGTAGCGAGTGTCACTAGTGCGGAGGTGCGTGATGAGATCAGCGACAGTGGGAAAGGCGGCAAGGTCAGGGAAGAGGAAGGGGAGCATGAGGCGGCTCAGTGCAGCAGTGGCAGGGGAGGAGTAGCGCGCAACTACAGCGTCGTACAAGGTCTGAGCACTTTTGTACTGGCTAAAGTGCGCGCGCTCAGCGGTAGGCAGGTGGCGACGCACAGCAAGACGTGCAGCAGCATCGCGCGTGGCCCACTGAGAGCGAACAGTGGCGTCAGCATCAGCAGCAGGGGCAGGGACGGCGCCAGAGGTGAGGTTAAAGAGAGACAGACCGTCGGCCCTATCGCACTGTAAAAACAGCTGCAGGTCGTCGAGCCAGACCTCAAAGTCAATGGCTCGACCCTCAGCGTCAAAAGCGAGGACACTGGGTGTAGCCATGACGACGACAGTGGAGCAGTGCAAGCAGTAGGGGAAGGGTACGCAGTGACAGCAGTGCAGTGCTCACCGGGCAGGGCAGGTCGCGCGGCTCGGGAGGAAGGTCGCCTGGCGAAACGGCCGCTAGGCTGCTGGGCGGCTCGGCTCCCGGGCGGCTCGGCTGCTGCTGGGCGGCTCGGCTGCTGCTGGGCGGCTCGGCGGCTGCTGGCGGCGCGGCTGCTGCTGGGCGGCTCGGCGGCTCCGGGCGGCTCAGCTGCTGCTGGGCGGCTCGGCTGCTGCTGGGCGGCTCGGCGGCTCCTGGGCGGCTCGGCTGCTCCGGGCGGCTCGGCTGCTGCAGGTGGGCGGCTCGGCTGCTGCAGTCGGGCGGCGCGAGAGCAAGGGGTGGCGGGGCCGTTAGTGCTGGGGCGGCGGGGCCGCGAGACCAGGGGCGGCGGGGGCCGCGTAACAGGGGCGGCGGGGCCGGGAGCGCTGGGGCGGCGGGGCCGCGAGATCAGGGGCGGCGGGGCCGTGAGCGCTGGGGCGGCGGGGCCGTGAGATCAGGGACGGCGGGGCCGCGGGCGCTGGGGCGGCGGGGCCGCGTATCAGGGGCGGCGGGGCTAGGAGCGCTGGGGCGGCGGGGCCGCGTAACAGGGGCCGCGGGGCTGGGAGCGCTGGGGCGGCGGGGCCGCGAGATCAGGGGCGGCGGGGCCATGAGCGCTGGGGCGGCGGGGCCGTGAGATCAGGGATGGCGGGGCCGCGGGCGCTGGGGCGGCGGGGCCGCGTATCAGGGGCGGCGGGGCCAGGAGCGTTGGGGCGGCGGGGCCGCGAGATCAGGGACGGCGGGGACCGCGAGTGCTTGGGCGGCGGGGCCGCGTATCAGGGGCGGCGGGGCCGGGAGCGCTCGGGCGGCGGGGCCGCAAGATCAGGGACGGCGGGGGCCGCGAGCGCTTGGGCGGCGGGGCCGCGTTCACTGGGTGGCGGGGCCGCGAGGGTAAGGCCGGCCGCTAGGGCGGCTCGGGGAAGGAGTGGCCCGAGGCGCGACTCGGGATGAGTGCGCTTCGGGCAGAAAAAAAAAAGATTTCGAGTGGTGGGCCCTACGCACAGTTCCCACAGGGGAACCTGCTCTATACCATGTGGAAAACTGAACGAGAATGAATCAACTCTGAATGAAGTGAGTACAAATATGAAACCCTAATTGGGTTGTACCCCCTATGGGATACCCCACTATAGCCTACACAAATAAGTAAGCTATAATGTTCTGACACTTACTACAAAAACGAAACTACGACCACGAAACTAATCGGCTACGTCGATGCCGATCATGCTGGCGATTCCGACAATAGGCGTTCTCGCACTGGCTACGTCTATCGTCTCGAGCCTATCGGACCTATCTCCTGGCAGTCGAGCAAGCAGGAACTAATCGCTCTCTCTTCAGCTGAAGCAGAATATATCGCCCTCTGCTCAGCCACCAAGGAAGGACTCTACCTTCGCGAGCTGCTGGAAGAAGCAAAGTTAGCCGAGTTACCCAACTTCACCCTATTCTGCGACAACCAATCTGCGATTCGCATCGCCAACAAAAGCGGATTCGCGAATAGAACGAAGCATATCGCTCTGCGATACTTCTTCGTGAAAGACAAGATCGAGAAAGGGAAACTCGAATTATCCTACTGTCCCACGTCCGAGATGGCAGCCGATTACTTGACCAAGAAACTCGGAAAACAGAAGTTCGAGTACTGCATGCTGCTGACTGGACAAGGCCACGTCACCATTAGCGACACTCCAGAAGCGAAGGGGGGTGTTGGGAACAATAAGTCTTAAAGCGCCTCTGTCGTGTCGAAACTCAGGACACAAGCGAAGCAGTCCAAATCGAAGCATCGCGAGTCAACCCTCGGAGGTTATGGTAACCGCCTGGAGGTTACGCGAAGGTCAAAAGTCAGCGACCTTTGACTTGACAAAATACAGCGCGACAGCAAGGACACACAACTGACTCGACATTGAGCAGTTGCCCGAGTCGCACTGTATCGAATCGCAACAGCAAAACAGTTTAATCTATTCGTATTCCTTGTACTCCTATATAAAGCCTTGTATTTGCTTGTTTTATTCAACTTACTTTGCCCTCACATACTAGCGCAAGGTGGTTCAAGGACTTTTCATTCAAACGCTTCCGCTATTACAATCCTACTCAGACTTTAACTCTACAAAGATCCTAGGGCATCTCAGCCCAACAGGTACAAGGACTATCGAGAGTGAAATGTTGTCCCCTCTAAGGAGAGAACCCTACACAACATAGAGTGAAATAAGCAGAACAATATGTTTTGACACCTACTCGATGATACCTTCTTATAATTATGCAATCGAAATGGTCTGATTAGTAGGAGTTGGGTAAAACATGCAAATCTATAAGGTTTTGTACCAAATATGAGGCAACGCATTACAGCATAACAACCAGATATAACATTTGACTAGCAGCTACGCTAGTATTGACATGAAAGTTATTCTCAAAGGTTCGCACAATATGATGCCACGGGTGCATGCCACACATTCAACAAGTTATTGCAAATTTGTGCAGCAATTTGTTCAAATGGAATCACTATCTCGATGAGTAATCCTACATTTTTACAATGGGAAATATGAAGTTATGGAAATGGATTAAAGATGTAGTGTGCAAACCTTATGCGCATGGTTTAGTTGGCCAACCTGGGTTCGCGGGGCTGCCGGAACTGGCTGACGTGTGAGGTGTTTTCCCTCCGCTATTTTCGCAAGCGCCTCTGCTGGGTGCAGGTGGGTCATTTACGGTACAGATATTGCTCCCATTCCTTACTTAATCGCATGGTGGTGACATGAAGCGGAATGTGGGGAAAAAATCGGCGGAGCTGTTCAGGTGGGGTGGGCTGAACGATGAGCTTCAGGTGGCGACGCTCCGCCAGGCCTCTTGAATCAGAGGGTACTTTCATTCTTTAGCCAGTGTTTCAGAGTCACCATATACGAACCCGGGTCGGTATATTACGCTTTGTACTGCTTGTACCGAGCAGAATGCCCCTCTTTCGTTTATCACATACAGCCTAACCCGCCCATTTTGATCCTGTGTTTAATTAACAAAACACTCGAAATTGGCGAGCCCTTTGCTTATCCCTGCTGCCCACCTCTTGTCTCTAGCTCCTCGAGTGGTTAGCGGTAATTAAACTCTGTTTGCGAGGATTTCACTTCCAGTTCCGAAACGAGTGGAAATATAGATCCCGAAATTTCGTGAGCATGCTACTCGTGGCACTCTGCGTTGGCAGGGTGAACCTGGGTCACGACTCGTTTCTGAGCTGTCAGCAGGAGAGGCGATGTCAAATTCAACTTCGACTGTCCTTGGCAGCACGACATACGGCGCAATGTGCGCTTCAGATCCAGTTCGCTTGGGCATGAGCGAATGAATTCTTGTTCGCAGACGAGCATGGGGAAACAGGAAAATTACACTACGGTTTTACACATGTAGGTGCGGTTAAGAGGGGCGAAGATCTTGTTCCACAAGTGTACCACATGCCTTGGCGCTTCTCTGCCCAGCCACACGCCACACCTCCGTACTACAGATGACTACGCAACGTGAGAAAATCAATACAAGTTGTGGTTTAGAAATAGCCGATCACACGAAAATTACTAATCAAGCCTCTTTAACTGTTTCCTACTAGCCAGTCACTCTGCGATTGAGATTTTCTAGGGTAGTACTAGCTTACACATAGAGGTAGAACACATCGACTTTCGTGGCAACGATGGCGACGCGAAACCTCCACGGTCCGCTCTTCCTCCTTGCGGTACTACTACTCAGCGCTGTCGTCGCGGCGCACGCGCAGTACTCTGCCTCGGCCGCTCTAAAGAAGATCGAGTCCAAACTATCACTTGCCGGAATGACGTACTCGCTCCAGTACATGAGGGCATGTGGTGAGTTCTCCGTGCAACGTGGCGCGTCACGTGCACCACTGTGGCTGATCAAGTCCGATCGGACCTTTTTTGCGGCATGATGCTAACAGTTTCCAACATTTCCTTTTTTTCGTTCTCAGGATTCAACAACTCGCTTCTAAAGAGCCTGTCCACAACGAAGACGACGCTACTCTTGCCATTGAACAGCGCGTGGGGCAGGCTCAGCTCGACAATGTTGAGCTCCCTCAACAAGAATCCCACCAGCATATGGCAGGTGTTTGCGTACAACTTGCTGGGTGCATATTACACGGTCAATGGCCTCGCCGCGATTCCGTACAACACACAGGTGAGCCGTTTGCTCACTTCGGAAAATCTGAACTCATAAGAGTCAGCCCCCTCTTCACTATAGTATGCGCTGCGTGCCATGCTCCCGCCTCCATGTGCGGCTTTTCTCAAGAATCATGCGTTAATTTTCTCACCTCTTCTCCTAGAAGAGTCCTTTTGTTCCCATTCGTTCCCTCTTCCTGACTCCGTTCCTCTCTGCTTCTCACCCGCCCTGCAACGCAACAGATTCCGACGGGGCTTGGGGGGTCGATGATGGTAAAGCGCTTATCGACGCAGGCCGTGCAATTTGGGAGACCCAACGGAAGGGGTGGCACCTATGTCAAGATGAACGTGTACCAGGACCCCCAGGTGGCGATATATGGGGTGGACAACGTCTTGATGCCCCCTAAGTTTAGCTAAAAGCTCCATCTGCATTTTCCAGCACGCATTTGTGCCTTCATACAGCTTGCTTTGTGCTAAGCAGAGCGAGATTGTATGAAAATTGTGTAACTTTGTCATATATTTAAACCTCACCAACCAACCTAGCCTAGCTTTTTCACGCCCTGCACCACTCTGGCAGACCATTTGATTTGGCATTATCTACATTTTATAGAAACCGGGACGCATATCATGCAGCAGAATCATGCTGGGAGAGCAATGGATTTACTAAGATGCAGGAAGAATACACAAGAAGCAGACACTTCAAAGGAAATTGAACAGCATAACTAGACAAGTCACTTGAAATTCAGTCTAGACAATACTTCAGCCCGTTAATGTGCCATCATTTCATACCTGAATGTGCCATTGAGTTATACCTGTTCTCTGAATTTGGGCTTTTTACCTCGGAATCCCCCCATCCCTCCCCAACCCTATGGACCATGCATCTGTTGTTTTTGCATGGTCTGGTATGTTAGACAACCTGCACTCTGCCCCAGGAAGTGCCAATGTGTGTGTGCAACAAGACTTTCATATACCGCTTGTGGACAGGGCAACGCATCCGTCTAGCGACCGTGTTGAGCAGATGGCCAATCCTTGTGTTTTCAAATACCTGTACCTTGTGTTGGAAACAATAAGTCTCAGTGCGCTTCTGTCGTGTCAAAACCCAAGACACTAGCGAAGCAGTCCGAATCGAAGCAGTCCGAATCGAAGCATCGAGTCAAACCTCGGAGGTTAGGGTAACCGCCTGGAGGTTACGGGAAAGTCAAAGGTCAGCGACCTTTGACTCGACAATTACAGCGCGACAGTTAAGGACACACAACTGACTCGTTACAGAGCAGTTGCCCGAGTCGCACTGTATCGAATCGCATCAGCAAATACAGTTATCTATCCATTCGTATTCCCTGTACTCTTATATAAAACCTTGTATTTGCTTGTTTAATTCAATCCACTTTGCTCTCACACACTAGTGCAAGGTCGGTTCACAAACTTCATTAAACGCTTCCGCTATTACAAATATCCTACCCAGAGTTATCCTCTGCAAAGATCCTTAAGGGCTTTCTCAGCCCAACATGGTATGAGAGCTGACAGGGGAAAACTCTAACTTTCTGATCATTACAAGACATGGCAACAAACAAGGAAAGGAGCTCCCCTAATGGCTCCTCGGGCACTACTCCTACTCCACCGCCAGCCTCTGGCCTGCAGACAGAGGAAGGCACGGCAGCAAGACCAAGGGGAACGTCAACCGAGACCCCCACGAACCATCCTTCTGACTTCGACCAGAGCATGATGGAGAAATTTTTCTCCTTCATGTCCTTCTACGAGCAACACCAGCAGTCGGGACCTGCACAGACACACAACAGCAACAACGGAGCGACACCCATGAGCCTTGACGGATCGTCATATGCGCGAGGGAATCAACAGCAGCAACCCACCTTTGCCCCGTACGAGCGCGGGTCGATCAGCTTCCTGCCTCAACCTTCACCTGCGCAAGACAAACCAATGGACGCTTTACAAGTTCAGTCACAATTCGCGCATGTCCTGAAACTGCAAATATCAAGACCCTTCGACGGAAATGACTTCTTCACCTGGTCCTTTGAATTCGAGCTGATGATGGAGGGCGCGCAGATACTCGGCTTCTTCGACGGATCCCTGCAGTATCCAGCAAACGGCACACAGTATGAGAAGCAGCAGTATACGTATCAATCGATGATGGCGTATACTATTCTACTGAGAAACATCACACCAACTCAGCAGCAGAACATTCGCTCTTACCGGAACTTCGGCAACTCGGCGGAACTCGCGTACGGCCATCTGAAGAACCTGTATCAAGCAACAGACAGTGTAAACCAGAGCAGGTTAATGGCACAATTGACAACAGTTGAAATGAAACCAGGAGAAAAGGGATTGCCGTATATCAGCCGATGTCGCGAATTGCGCGACAAGCTTCTTCGATGCGGAGGATCAATCTCTGAAGACGCCTTCGTGACAGTCATCATCGGTGGCCTCGGTCCTCAGTGGCGCGCCACCAAAGCAATTCTTCGAGCCCACGGAAGAATCTCTGAAGCAGCACTTTGCGCCGAAATCCACGCCGAGCAGCAGGATATGGACCTGCAAGAAGAAAGGCACAAGAAAAAGGCATTAGCACCGGAGTTCGCTTTCCATACTCAGCGACGACACAACAACTACAACAACCGACAGCAGCAGCCGAAGCTAGTACCTCCGTTTTGTCACATCTGCAAAACATCAGGACATCCACGCACGCATTGCCCGTCCCGTCAGACAACACCACAGCGACAACTGCGGCCTTCAAGCTCCCAAGTTGCTTCGACACAAGCAAGTCCGACAACCACGATTCAAGCTTCAACGACTTCAACTGGACAACCTGCACAAGGAGCAAGAAACATAGTCAACTGCATGGTCAAGATAAACGATTCTTGCATAACAGAGTCACCACCCCACTACTCACCAGAAGAGGAGCTCGACAACAGGACGCCCCGCCGCGAATCACTCCACCCGAATCCGACTTACGCCGCCATCGCTCAAAGTGAACCGTCCGGCCAAGACACTTGGTTTTTGGATAGTTGCTGCGGGCAACACATGTGCTCGTCCGGACGCTTCGTACAACGCGAACACCGACTCCAACGAGAAGTTGTTATCACGGTCGCCAACAATCAAAACCTGCGCACACGACGACAAGGAGTGGTACAGCTTCAGTCAAGAGAAACAAATGTCATACTGCACATGTCAAAGGTACTCATCGCTGAAGGACTCGGCTACAACTTACTGAGTGTTAGCCAGCTGATGGCGAAAGGGATTCACCTGGAAGCCGACAGCACCACCCAGGAGTTCAAGCTATACCACGGGAGAGGCGGCCTCTACATCGGGAAGGCAATGCTGAAGAACAACGTCTTCGTCCTCGACTTCGTTCCTGACCTGGGCACTGCAGACAGCGACGCCATAGTGAATTTTACTGACTGGACACACCCTCCAGATCTCGACCCCGACTTCAGCCCGGGAGGTTTCTGATACTCCCACACTATCCCTGAAGCAGAACGAACACGAGCGTTAGCAACGATTCAACAAACACCAGAAGCAGAGACAACATCGACAGCAGCAACAACATCGGCAGCAGCAACAACATCGGCAGCAGCAGAGACAACATCAACAGCAGCAGGAACAACGACACCAGTCACAGTCGACGAAGCACCACCAACACCCGCGCAACAGCTGAATCCGACTCAACGTGAAGTCCACCGAAGCGCCAACTTCGTCGCCAGTTTTTACTCCAACTCCGACGCATACCAACGTTCACCCGGACACCGCGCCTCTGAAGAAATCTGGCACGCACGCACAGGACATCCAAGCAACACGGTTTTAAACAACACGATAAGAGCAGGAGTTCTTGACAAAGACTCTCTACTTCTACCCGACGCCAGAGAACTCCAAAAGGCACGAGGGACTTGCCTTATATGCCCAGAAGCTGACTTACCTCATCGACCATTCGCTCCACATCACAACCCGAGCGCACCAGCGTACGCACCACTTGAAAAGGTTTACAGCGACATCCTCTACAATCGCGAACCAGGACAAGTCAAGTACAACTACACCATCACCTTCATCGACGCCGCCACTCGATACGTCTGGCATCGTAACCTACCCAGCCGCGACATGGCGCTCGCAGCATTCGCCGCCTGGCTACCGATAGCAGAGAGAGAGTCTGGAACGCAACTGAAAAGCTTCCAGTCAGACGGAGGTGGCGAGTACACCTCTCAGCGCTTCAAGCAGTTCCTGGCGGAAAGGGGGATCAAGCAACTGCTCTCCCTTCCCTACGCACATCAGCAGCAAGGTGTTGCAGAAAGAATGAACAGGACCCTGCAGAACAGCATGCGCAAACTGTTACGTGGCATGCGGCTACCCAACCACCAGTGGCCAGCAGCAATGGACCATGCTGTCATGCTGCACAACTTGTTGTCGTCGTCGTCACTCCCGAACAACGCATCACCGCATCTGCTGTGGACAGGGAAGCAGGGCAGCACAAAAATGTTACGAGTTTTCGGGTGCATGGTACAGTACAGACCCCCAGAAGCACGAGCGGGAAGATTTTCGCAACGGGCACAGTGGGGACTACACCTCGGCATCGAGAAAAATTACAACGCGTGGAGAATCTTCGACGTCCACACAAAAGAAACAGTAGCAGCACGTGATGTGATCTTCTACGAACGACTCACCCTTCAGACGTACCTCGCCAACTTGCACGAGAATCGGGACCTCACTAGTGGCTTTCGTGGTGACCGAGCCTTCGCGTCAGCAGCGGATGAAGCAGACTGGGATGAGCAGAACGTCGACAACGCATCGGAGGAAGCCGGACCTCTTCCGTACTGCTCCGTCGACGTGCCCATGGATGAGGAAAATCCTCGCGACAGTAACAACGCCGAAGTCTTCTACCATTTCGCCGACAATGGTTACGTAACACCTGCGACAGTCAACACCAACGAAGCAGAAAGGGTAGGGCCAAATTTCATACCGGACCCAGAAGTGGGAGACGAAGCAGCTTATCCCGAGGATCCAGAACTCCCTCGATACTCACAGACTGGACTGCAAATCCTTGGTCTCGTCACCGCAGTCCATGGCGCCGCCATTCCTAAGGAGTCTGCGACGGTTCAACAGGCTCTGGAGGGGGAACATAGGGAGAAATGGCGTGAAGCCATGGACAAAGAGCTGAAGGCACTGGAGGAGCGCAACACCTGGAAAATCGTTCCCATCGGCGTAGCACAAAACAAGACTATCCTTACCGGGAAGTGGGTCTTCCGTGTGAAGACGAAAGCTGACGGCACCATCGACAAATTCAAAGCTCGCTGGGTCGTACGCGGCTTTGACCAGGAGCACGGAAGAGATTACACCGAAACCTTCGCTCCGGTCAGCCGTCACACCTCACTCCGAATCCTCATCGCCGTCGCCGCCATGAAGAAAAAGAAACTGCGACAAATCGACGTCGCAAACGCATTTCTCTACGCACCTGTGGATGCAGAAATCTTCGTCGAGCTCCCGCACGGCTCCCACGGCGAACCGAACCGAGTCTGTCAAGTGCTTAAGTCGCTCTACGGGATCAAGCAGGCACCGCGACTGTGGCAGCAGTACCTACACGCCCGCCTCATTCGCATCGGTTTCAAACAACTCCCGCATGACCAGGGCATGTATCGCCTCACAAAGGGAAGTGACTACGTTCTCCTAATCGTCTACGTGGACGATCTCCTCTACATTGGATCAACCGACGGCATCGCCACGTGGTTCGAAGGGGAGCTTCAGAAAGACCTCACGCTCACGGTCTCTTCTACCGTTACACAGTACCTCGGGCTCAACATCCGCGAGGAAGAAAACACAATCTATCTAAGCGCCGAGAAGTACGCCGACACCATCGCAAAATGCTTCAGCCTCACACCAAGCGCCATCTCCACGCCTTACCGCTACACGTCAGGAACCGAAAAGGGACGATCTACCCTACTCAAGCCCGCCGGCATACGCGACTATCAGAAGAAGCTCGGATGTCTTCTCTTCGCAGCAGTCACATGCCGTCCCGACTTATCCTACTCCGCGAGCCAGCTCGCCACCTATCTCAAGAAGCCTGAAGCAGAGCATCTGGCGGAACTCGATCGCGCTCTCCACTATTTCGTCAGCACCGCGACGATCGGATTAACTTATCACAAAAACGGAACTACACCGACCAAGCTAATCGGCTACGTCGACGCCGATCACGCCGGCGACACCGATAACAGGCGCTCACGCACCGGCTATGTATACCGCCTCGAGCCTATCGGTCCTATTTCCTGGCAGTCGAGTAAGCAGGAATTAATCGCACTGTCTTCAGCTGAAGCGGAATATATCGCACTCTGCTCAGCCACCAAGGAGGGACTTTACCTTCGCGAACTGCTGGAAGAAGCGAAGTTAGCCGAGTTACCCAGCTTCACCGTGTTCTGCGACAACCAGTCAGCAATTCGCATCGCCAACAAGAACGGCTTCGCAAACAGAACGAAACACATCGCCCTGCGCTATTTCTTCGTGAAGGACGAGATCGAAAAGGGGAAACTCGATCTGTCATACTGTCCCACGTCTGAGATGGCAGCCGATTACTTGACCAAGAAGCTCGGAAAGCAGAAGTTCGAATACTGCATGCTGCTGACTGGACAAGGCCACGTCACCTGCGGCGACACTCCAAAAGCGAAGGGGAGTGTTGGAAACAATAAGTCTTAGTGCGCTTCTGTCGTGTCAAAACCCAAGACACTAGCGAAGCAGTCCGAATCGAAGCATCGAGTCAAACCTCGGAGGTTAGGGTAACCGCCTGGAGGTTACGGGAAAGTCAAAGGTCAGCGACCTTTGACTCGACAATTACAGCGCGACAGTTAAGGACACACAACTGACTCGTTACAGAGCAGTTGCCCGAGTCGCACTGTATCGAATCGCAACAGCAAATACAGTTATCTATCCATTCGTATTCCCTGTACTCTTATATAAAACCTTGTATTTGCTTGTTTAATTCAATCCACTTTGCTCTCACACACTAGTGTAAGGTCGGTTCACAAACTTCATTAAACGCTTCCGCTATTACAAATATCCTACCCAGAGTTATCCTCTGCAAAGATCCTTAAGGGCTTTCTCAGCCCAACACCTTGGATCCTGTTTTTCAGTAGTAATGGGGGTTGCGTGCGTGCGCCAGGCCTCTGGTTAGGTTTTGAGCTACTCTTTCACGTAAGGCCAACACCCCGCTTGCACTTTTTCTGAAAGGGTGCTGACAAAAAATACTCTTTCTAGTAAGGGTGCAAACATAATATGGTTTCTCTACAATTAGCTGAGCATTCCTTACCGATCAAGTTGTTGGTGTTGTAGCGAATTGCGAAGGGGAAATTATGCGCATGACTCAACTTCGATGCTTGAAGTAGGCCAATCTAAGCGAGGTAGCATTTTCCGCGAGAAATTTTACCATACTCCGTTAGATCTAACTCAATATCATCAGTGTTACTACACCACATAACTCTGACATATCAGTGTGGTATAACCAAACACTTTTTCTTGTAAGGGTTAAAATGTTGACCACTCTGATAAAAGAGGGTGCATCGTCAAACCCAGCCTTATAGTAAGGGTCATAAGGGTGAATCACCCTGTTAACCAGAGGCCTGGCGTGCGCGCGCGCGTGCGCGCGTGTGTGTGTGTGTGTTGGGGGGGGGGGGGGGGGGGGGGCGCGTATTTCAAGTTTCTCGGAGGCTGCAAGGTCATATTGGCTGCATCAAGTTTGTTCTATGCCTCTGTAACCTAGTGCCATGGTAAGTCTGCAAACAGCCCACCCTAAGTGACAACAAACCAGAGACCAATGGTTGGCTCTCTTGTTATCAACGAGATATCCACTTGCTTCAAGACTGTGCCCTGGTTCTTCTAGGGAATCCTTCCAACAACACGTTTGTAGCACTTTATGCGCAATTACCATTTCTGTTGGACTCTTAAACCAGGACATTGTGGCATTTTGCCGTGTCGCAATACTCAAAAGGGTAGTTGTTTGGCGCTACCATGGCTTCAGTGGTGATGGAAAAGGGTTTGTCGTAACTTGGAAGGTCATAATCCACTTGAATCCACAACGCCCGATACCCCACCTGCCAACACATCACATCCAGGGAACACGGGAGTGAGATGACACATGTTATGAAAAACATGCAAGCCCATAGAAAGTCTACATCCTTATATTTCCTTTGGGAAACCTCACTCCAGGCAGCCAGCTGTCGTCTGGTAGCCATAGCCGTAGTTAGCAGCATGAGGATGATCAATGTCTCACCTTGGGAATGTCGCTGACAGTGGCGCTGAAATGCCACTTGCCATCGTCCTTCCTTGTAGGGGGCGTGACTTTATCTTGGAAGAAGGCGATGGGTTGCACACAGAGCTTCCCCAGCCTGCTCACGTAGCTCCCCGCCGGGCCCTGGAACGGCAGCACACTGCCATGCGATCCCACGACATGAACCGTATGGCGTACAGTCACATGGCGTACAATCACATGGCGTACAGTCACATGGCATACAGTCACATGGCATACAGTCAAATGGCGTGCAGTCACATGGCCCACAGTCACATGGCACAAAGTCACATGGCACACAGTCACATGACAGTCGCATGGCATAAAAACATGGAATGGGGTGAGTACCATATGGTGACATCAAGGAACGTCTGTACAGTCACAAGTCATACAATCACATGTGCAGTCACATGTATCGACAAGAAAGGTACACAACATAAAACAATAAGGGAAACGAATGTACTGGAGGCACAGCAAGGCAGTGAGGGGGCACAGCAAGACAGTGAGGAGGCACGGCAAGACAGTGAGGAGGCACGGCAAGACAGTGAGGAGGCACGGCAAGACAGTGAGGAGGCACGGCAAGACAGTGAGGAGGCACGGCAAGACAGTGAGGAGGCACGGCAAGACAGTGAGGAGGTACGGCAAGACAGTGAGGAGGCACGGCAAGACAATGAGGAGGCACGGCAAGACAGTGAGGAGGCACGGCAAGACAGTGAGGAGGCACGGCAAGACAGTGAGGAGGCACGGCAAGACAGTGAGGAGGCACGGCAAGACAGTGAGGAGGCACGGCAAGACAGTGAGGAGGCACGGCAAGGCACTGAGGTTGTGCAAAACGCATCACACACAGCAACACCCACATGGTGGGAAGGAGTGAGCAGCTGGTGAACGTTTCACCATGTGGCCACAGCAACCCATCCAACCGGAGCAGCAACACCCACTTGGAGTGAGCAGCTGGTGAACACCTGATTGATCAACCGGACATGCCACACAAGTGGTTTTTCTGCCACCTACTTCATCCCGCCCCACCTCCCACCATCCCATCCCGCCTCTCACCATCCCGTCCCTCCGCTCACCATCCCATCTCACCGCTCACCATCCCATCTCACCACTCACCATCCCGTCCTGCCTTGGTGCAGAATGAATCGGAAGTCACGCCGCTTGCTGCCCATGAAGGTCTTCCCAGTCCTGCCAGCAACACACGCGTACACGGATGGGGGGAGGCGGGGGGGGGGGGGAGTGAATGGGAGAGAGTGGGAGAGAGTGGGAGACGTCGGGTGGGAGTGGGAGATAATGGAAGTGCAAAGGGGAAAGGGAGGAGGCATGAGAAATCAGGATGGGGCCGTTGGGGGAAGTGGTCATAATTGGGGGCGTTGGGGGCGTGGGTGGAAGCAGGGAGCGGCGGTGAGTCCCTGTGTGCAGGTCAACGCCTCCCATGCCATGCGGTCAGAGTGGTCGGAGGGGTCAATGTGGTCGGATTGGTCAGAGTGGTGAGATCAATGAGAGCAATGCTCACCACCATGCTCACCACCATGCTCCCACCGCCATTCCCTCACCATGCTCCCACATTCCCGTACCATGCTTGCACAGCCACAGGTTTAACCTCTGACGTGGCATGGATGGTGTAGGAGGGCCAATCAAAGCGCCACGTCAGCTTGGGCCAGAGCACGTGTGTGAGCAGAGGGAAGCAGGTCCAAGGCAGCAGCAGCGGAGGGGCAGCAGGGCGCCCCCCCAACGCCAGCGAGAACAGCCCCGCCCTCCCAATGCTGCTGCTGCTGGTGTCGGTAGAATTGGATGAGGAGGGGGGTGAAGATGAGGGTTGGTGAGAGGAGGAAGGGGAGGAGGCGTTGGGGGGAAGCCAGGTGAGGGAGGGGCGGCTGGACGGGGGCAGGGCGGCGCAGGAGGAGGTGTCGTGGAGCAGTGCGAGGAAGAAGGACATGCAGGCGTCGTAGCCCTGATGGGGGGGGGGGTTGAGGAGGGGAGAGGGTAGGCGTGAGTGGGGGGATGGCAGTGCAATACAAAGGTGAGGACGAAGCACATGCAGGTAAGCAAGCAAGCAGGCGAGCAGGCGAGCAGGCGAGGTAGTGCGAGAGGCGGCTCACCCACTGCGAGGAGTGCAGCACCATGTGGTCGATGTTGGGCAGCAGCTTCAGGAACTTGGGCTCCGGCAGCCCCTCCCAGTAGTTGTAGCTGCCCCATGGTGCACAGGGGGGGGGGATGCGGGGCGGAGAGGGGAGTATCAGGTGGGACGAGGTGCATTGCCAATGATCAGGTGAGAAGGTGAAAGATGAACCGTGAAAGATGCACGGTGAAAGATGAACTGAGAGATGGACGGTGGGAGATGGACGCTGAGAGATGGACGGTGGGAGATGGACGCTGAGAGATGGACGGTGGGAGATGGACGCTGAGAGATGGACGGTGGGAGATGGACGGTGGGAGATGGACGCTGAGAGGTGGACGGTGAGAGATGGACGGTGGGAGATGGACGGTGGGAGATGGACGCTGAGAGGTGGATGGTGAGAGATGGACGGTGGGAGATGGACGGTGGGAGATGGACGGTGGGAGATGGACGGTGGGAGATGGACGGTGGGAGATGGACGGTGGGAGATGGACGGTGAGAGGTGGACGGTGAGAGGTGGACGGTGGGAGATGGACGGTGGGAGCTTTGAAGCGATGAAGTACTGAAAGTCTCCATCAGCTGACATTCCCAAGGAACGCCCAAGTTCAAGATTTTCTTGTCCCTACTTTATCATGATGCTCCTTGTGAAAACAGCTCAAAGAGAACATGCAAACATTCCCATTCCCCCCTTTCCCCATCCGCACCACCCTCCCCACCTCTGTTCCCCCATCCTCCCTCTCCACCTGCAGAGAAGCTCGGGGTCACGGAGGCAATGCCTGCCTCTCACCCACCTATCGCGGAGGCCCACCTGTCATCGCGGCGCCCACCTGTCATCGCGGCGCCCACTTGTCATCACCGCAACCCACCTGTCATCACCGCAACCCACCTGTCATCACCGCAACCCACCTGTCATCACCGCAACCCACCTGTCATCACCGCAACCCACCTGTCATCACCGCACCCCACCTGTCATCACCGCACCCCACCTGTCATCGAGGGCGAAGAACTCGTCGTTGGCAGCAGAGACAATGAGCTTGGGCATGGTGAGGCGGTCACGGTAGCTGTACGCATCCACCAGCTCCTGTGGCCGCGGGAGGGAGGGGAGGTTTGGTGGGGGGGTTAGGTACAGGCCGGATGACACCTTTTGAGCCGACTTAAAAGGAGGGCGAGTTGGGTGGGGTGGTTGGGTGGGGTGGTCGGGAGGGAGGGCGAGTTGGGTGAGGTGGTTGGGTGGGGTGGTCGGGAGGGAGGGCGAATTGGGTGGGGTGGTTGGGTGGGGTGGTCGGGAGGGAGGGCGAATTGGGTGGGGTGGTTGGGTGGGGTGGTCGGGAGGGAGGGCGAATTGGGTGGGGTGGTTGGGTGGGGTGGTCGGGAGGGAGGGCGAATTGGGTGGGGTGGTTGGGTGGGGTGGTCGGGAGGGAGGGCGAATCGGGTGGGGTGGTTGGGTGGGGTGGTCGGGAGGGAGGGCGAATTGGGTGGGGTGGTTGGGTGGGGTGGTCGGGAGGGAGGGCGAATTGGGTGGGGTGGTTGGGTGGGGTGGTCGGGAGGGAGGGCGAATTGGGTGGGGTGGTTGGGTGGGGTGGTCGGGAGGGAGGGCGAATTGGGTGGGGTGGTTGGGTGGGGTGGTCGGGAGGGAGGGCGAATTGGGTGGGGTGGTTGGGTGGGGTGGTCGGGAGGGAGGGCGAATTGGGTGGGGTGGTTGGGTGGGGTGGTCGGGAGGGAGGGCGAATTGGGTGGGGTGGTTGGATGGGGTGGTCGGGAGGGAGGGCGAATTGGGTGGGGTGGTTGGGTGGGGTGGTCGGGAGGGAGGGCGAATTGGGTGGGGTGGTTGGGTGGGGTGGTCGGGAGGGAGGGCGAATTGGGTGGGGTGGTTGGGTGGGGTGGTCGGGAGGGAGGGCGAATTGGGTGGGGTGGTTGGGTGGGGTGGTCGGGAGGGAGGGCGAATTGGGTGGGGTGGTTGGGTGGGGTGGTCGGGAGGGAGGGCGAATTGGGTGGGGTGGTTGGGTGGGGTGGTCGGGAGGGAGGGCGAATTGGGTGGGGTGGTTGGGTGGGGTGGTCGGGAGGGAGGGCGAATTGGGTGGGGTGGTTGGGTGGGGTGGTCGGGAGGGAGGGCGAATTGGGTGGGGTGGTTGGGTGGGGTGGTCGGGAGGGAGGGCGAATTGGGTGGGGTGGTTGGGTGGGGTGGTCGGGAGGGAGGGCGAATTGGGTGGGGTGGTTGGGAGGGGGTTTTAGGAATTGGCCGGGTGACATCTTTTGGGGCGACTCAGAAGGCATGGTGAGGCGGTCACGGTAGCTGTACGCGTCCACCAGCTCCTGTGGGCGCAGGAGGGAGGGATGGGGGATGGAGGGGGCGGGAGGGAGGGAGGGAAGGTGGAGGGGGCGGTAGGTACAGCTCAGCAGGGTACTCTTCAGGCGGTGACGGTAGCTGAATGCGTCCACCAGCTCCTATGGGCGCGGGAAGACAGGGGAAGGCGGGCAGGTACGGTCGGCCAGCAGCTTTTGAGCCCACTGAAAATGCATGGTGGTAGCTGTAGCACAGCACATGCTTGCTTCTTCCATGCGTGGACAGGTGACAGCACATGTGTGGGTATGACAGCACATGTGTGGGTATGACAGCACATGTGTGGGTATGACAGCACATGTGTGGGTATGGCAGCACATGTGTGGGTATGACAGCACATGTGTGGGTATGGCAGCACATGTGTGGGTATGACAGCACATGTGTGGGTATGGCAGCACATGTGTGGGTATGACAGCACATGTGTGGGTATGGCAGCACATGTGTGGGTATGACAGCACATGTGTGGGTATGGCAGCACATGTGTGGGTATGGCAGCACATGTGTGGGTATGACAGCACATGTGTGGGTATGGCAGCACATGTGTGGGTATGGCAGCACATGTGTGGGTATGGCAGCACATGTGTGGGTATGACAGCACATGTGTGGGTATGGCAGCACATGTGTGGGTATGGCAGCACATGTGTGGGTATGGCAGCACATGTGTGGGTATGACAGCACATGTGTGGGTATGGCAGCACATGTGTGGGTATGGCAGCACATGTGTGGGTATGGCAGCACATGTGTGGGTATGGCAGCACATGTGTGGGTATGACAGCACATGTGTGGGTATGGCAGCACATGGGTAATGCATTGCTGCGAGTGGCGTTGTACTCCACTCCACATGGAAGAAGCGCAGCAGAATGGCTTTTGAGTCGACTCAAAGTTCACATCACATCTCTGAGCAAGGCAGGAGGAGGCTTACCATGAACCTGTTGAACTGCGGCTTACCATGAACCTGTTGAACTGCGGCTTACCATGAACCTGTTGAACTGCGGCTTACCATGAACCTGTTGAGCTGCGGCTTACCATGAACCTGTTGAACTGCGGCTTACCATGAACCTGTTGAACTGTGGCTGGAGGATCTTGAGGGTGATGTTGTACTCCACGTGGAAGCGCAGCAGGATGGGCCAGCCGCCCAGCGAGCGGAACATGTGGCGGTAGCTCGCCACCATGCTGAAGAAATCGTAGCCGTACGATATGATCCCCACCACCCTCTGCCGTGAGCGGATGGAGGGGGACGGGAGGGGGAGGGGGAGGAGAGGGGAGGGAGAGGGGAGGGGATGACAAGTTGGAGATGGGAGACTGTAAGGCTAGATATGAAAGACGGACCTCCGCCAGTTGTCATGCTGCCAGTCTAACAATGCCGGAGGATGGAAGAGGTAGATTGAGAGGAGGATTCTCTAGACAGCAACAAGAGACGGGGCTGAGCAGATAACGTGCAAGAATGGGTCTGCGGGAAAGAAATGGCGAGTCCGTGACACCCTCCTGGCACCTTGCTGGTGAGGACGTGCATGCATGCATGCAGGAGGCGAAGCGATGTATGCATGGATGGATGCAGGCGCGGATGCATGGAAGGATGCATGGATGGATGCATGAAAGGATGCATGGATGGATGCATGGAAGGATGCATGGATGGATGCATGGATGGATGCATGGAAGGATGCATGGATGGATGAATGCAGGCGTGGATGCATGGATGGATGCATAGATGGATGCATGGATGGATGCATGGATGGATGCATGGATGGATGCATGGAAGGATGCATGGATGGATGCATGGATGGATGCATGGAAGGATGCATGGATGGATGAATGCAGGCGTGGATGCATGGATGGATGCATAGATGGATGCATGGATGGATGCATGGATGAATGCAGGCGTGGATGCATGGATGGATGCATGGATGGATGCATGGATGGATGCATGCAGGCGTGGATGCACATGTAGGGGACAGGCAGACGTAAGGGACATGCAGAGGCAGGGGGCAGCCATATGGCACCACACCGTAAGACAATAAATTCGTATATGGAAATTCATGGAGAGCATTTACTGCCACATGTCACTGCAGCAGCACACAACACTATAGCCCATGGCAATGCACTTCACTTCACACCACATTTAAACAAAAACCATGCCGTGTTCCACCTTGTCCACACCGCATCACCGCACTTCACCTTGTCAAGGGCAGCAGCCAGCCAGGAGCAAAGAGCCCTCTTGCTTACGCCGATCATCACGAAGCCCTCCACCTGGCAGGGCGGAAAAGGGCAGAAAAGGGCGGAGAAGGGCTGGGGCAGGCGCGATAAGAGACGAGGAGCAGCTGCCGTTTGGGTCCACCCAAACGCCACGCCGATCATCACTAAGCCCTCCCCCTGGCAGCGTGGGGAAGGACTGGGACGGACGCGATCAGGTGTGAGCGGAAAAACCGCCTGTTAACTCCTCTATCTCTCCTCTACGCTTAAATTCGTTTAACTCTGAGGAATACCAGTTCGCCGTGAAAATCTGGCCCTTTCGACTTCTGAGACGTCTCAAAATGTGGATCTGGCATTTCGTCGTGAGATCCGCGCACGTCCTGGCACTGGCTGGCATGGATGGAGCAGTTGGCTGACCGGCTTGGGGGGTGGGGGGAGGAAAGGGCGCCATGATTTGAGCTTTACTCAACTATACCTTGTAGCCACTCAATCAATCATTGACAATACCCATTTCGCCAGTAAACCCACGTGATTTTCACACGGGAATGTTCTGTGACTATAATGAAAGTACACGTCGAACCGGACAAGAACATATTTACCGCTAACATGCTAATGTCCAGGTTCGGGGCGAACATGCTAATGTTCAGGTTCGGGGCGAACATGCTAATGTTCAGGTTTGGGGCGAACATGCTAATGTTCAGGTTCGGGGCGAACATGCTATGCTAGTGTTTGACTTTGCTGTGGAACAATTGAACACCCCATTTCAGGAGTACGTTCGGGCCGAACCAAACATGTTGGGATGAGAGGTGAACTCAAGAGTTGGTATACTGATAAAGAAGAGCAGTACAAATAGGGAATGGGGTGAGTGACCAAAGTTAGGGTTACCCCACACCATTATTGGCTGACCAATGTGGTGGGGGTCTAGCTCAATAATTGAGGTTGGGCCAATAATTGGAGGAGCCAAACATTGGAGGGTTTGGCCACCAATGTTGGCTCCCCAACAATAATGGCCGCGTGGGTTGTGGGAACCCAACCAAAAGTTGGGAGACACCCATGATTTGGGTGTACACTGTTAGGTCTAGCCATATGCATGCTATAATCTAACAGTTGGTGTTTTTCAGATTTCGCTCATGTCATGCCTAGAACAGGCATGGCGCTGCACAACAAGGGCATGGCGCTGCACAACAAGGGCATGGCGTTGCACTACAAGGGCATGGCGCTGCACTACAAGGGGAGGGGTGGAGTGGCAGGGGTAGGCGAGTGACTGGGGAACGGCCAATAGGGTAAGCTTTCTCCCCACTCTTCTCACACTCCTTCATCGTACTGTAGAGCCTTTTGGCCCCTTACACAAGGCAACGATTATCATTTTTAACACTCGCCTCACCTCATCGGCATACACTCACGGGCACGGAGGGCAGCAGAGCGCGGGTGGCGAGTTGAGCGACATCGAAGCCGCGCACCACTGACTTGACCATCGGGAACTCCATGGCCCACTCGTAGTCGCTCGGGTTCTCCAGAAACATGGCCGTCGCGTCTGGCGTTGCCAGTAAAGAGGGAGGGGGGGAAGGGGGTGGGGGAGTGGGAGGGGAGAGGTGGGAGGAGGGAATAGAAGAAGTGAGAACGAAAGGACGGAAGGACAGTGTTTTAAGGGCAGGCTCACGCGCGCCATGATCTGCCCCACTCACTCACGCGCCATGATCTGCCCCACTCACTCACGCGCCATGATCTGCCCCACTCACTCACGCGCCATGATCTGCCCCACTCACTCACGCGCCATGACCTGCCCCACTCACTCGCGCGCCATGATCTGCCCCACTCACTCACGCGCCATGATCTGCCCCACTCACTCACGCAACATGATCTGCCCCTCTCACTCACGCGCCATGATCTGCCCCACTCACTCACGCCATGATCTGCCCCTCTCACTCACGCCATGATCTGCCCCACTCACTCACGGGCCATGATCTGCCCCACTCACTCATGCGCCATGATCTGCCCCACTCACTCACGCGCCATGATCTGCCCCACTCACTCACGCGCCATGATCTGCCCCACTCACTCACGCGCCATGATCTGCCCCTCTCACTCACGCACCATGATCTGCCCCACTCACTCACACGCCATGCTCTGCCCCACTCACTCACGTGCCATGATCTGCCCCACTCACTCACGCGCCATGATCTGCCCCACTCACTCACGCGCCATGATCTGCCCCTCTCACTCACGCGCCATGATCTGCCCCACTCACTCACGCCATGATCTGCCCCACTCACTCACGCGCCATGATCTGCCCCACTCACTCACGCGCCATGATCTGCCCCACTCACTCACGCGCCATGATATGCCCCACTCACTCACGCGCCATGATCTGCCCCTCTCACTCACGCACCATGATCTGCCCCACTCACTCACGCGCCATGCTCTGCCCCACTCACTCACGTGCCATGATCTGCCCCACTCACTCACGCGACATGATCTGCCCCACTCACTCACGCGCCATGATCTGCCCCTCTCACTCACGCGCCATGATCTGCCCCACTCACTCACGCCATGATCTGCCCCACTCACTCACGCGCCATGATCTGCCCCACTCACTCACGCGCCATGATCTGCCCCACTCACTCACGCAACATGATCTGCCCCTCTCACTCACACGCCATGATCTGCCCCACTCACTCACGCCATGATCTGCCCCTCTCACTCACGCCATGATCTGCCCCACTCACTCACGCGCCATGATCTGCCCCACTCACTCACGCGCCATGATCTGCCCCACTCACTCACGCGCCATGATCTGCCCCACTCACTCACGCGCCATGATCTGCCCCACTCACTCACGCGCCATGATCTGCCCCTCTCACTCACGCGCCATGATCTGCCCCACTCACTCACGCGCCATGCTCTGCCCCACTCACTCACGCGCCATGATCTGCCCCACTCACTCACGCGCCGTGATCTGCCCCACTCACTCACGCGCCATGATCTGCCCCTCTCACTCACGCGCCATGATCTGCCCCACTCACTCACGCGCCGTGATCTGCCCCTCTCACTCACGCGCCATGATCTGCCCCACTCACTCACGCCATGTTCTGCCCCACTCACTCACGCGCCATGATCTGCCCCACTCACTCACGCGCCATGCTCTGCCCCACTCACTCACGCGCCATGCTCTGCCCCACTCACTCACGCGCCATGATCTGCCCCACTCACTCACGCGCCATGCTGTGCCCCTCTCACTCACGCGCCATGATCTGCCCCACTCACTCAAACGCCATGATCTGCACCACTCACTCACGCGCCATGATCTGCCCCACTCACTCACGCGCCATGATCTGCCCCACTCACTCACGCACCATGATCTGCCCCACTCACTCACGCGCCATGCTGTGCCCCTCTCACTCACGCGCCATGATCTGCCCCACTCACTCAAACGCCATGATCTGCACCACTCACTCACGCGCCATGATCTGCCCCACTCACTCACGCGCCATGATCTGCTCTGCCCCACTCACTCACGCGCCAAAACTGCCCCACTCACTCAAACGCCATGATCTGCCCCACTCACTCACGCGCCATGATCTTCCCCACTCACTCACGCGCCATGATCTGCCCCACTCACTCACGCGCCATGATCTGCCCCACTCAATCACGCGCCATGATCTGCCCCACTCACTCACGCGCCATGATCTGTCCCACCCACTCACGCGCCATGATATGCCCCACTCACTCAAACGCCATGATCTGCCCCACTCACTCACGCGCCATGATCTGCCCCACTCACTCACACGCCATGATCTGCCCCACTCACTCACGCGCCATGATCTGCCCCACTCAATCACGCGCCATGATTTGCCCCACTCACTCACGCGCCATGATCTGCCCCACTCACTCACGCGCCATGATCTACCCCACTCACTCACGCGCCATGATCTGCCCCACTCACTCACGCGCCATGATCTGCCCCACTCACTCACGCGCCGTGATCTGCCCCACTCACTCACGCGCCATGATCTGCCCCTCTCACTCACGCGCCATGATCTGCCCCACTCACTCACGCCATGATCTGCCCCACTCACTCACGCGCCATGATCTGCCCCACTCACTCACGCGCCATGCTCTGCCCCACTCACTCACGCGCCATGCTCTGCCCCACTCACTCACGCGCCATGATCTGCCCCACTCACTCACGCGCCATGCTGTGCCCCTCTCACTCACGCGCCATGATCTGCACCACTCACTCACGCGCCATGATCTGCCCCACTCACTCACGCGCCATGATCTGCCCCACTCACTCACGCACCATGATCTGCCCCACTCACTCACGCGCCATGCTGTGCCCCTCTCACTCACGCGCCATGATCTGCCCCACTCACTCAAACGCCATGATCTGCACCACTCACTCACGCGCCATGATCTGCCCCACTCACTCATGCGCCATGATCTGCTCTGCCCCACTCACTCACGCGCCAAAACTGCCCCACTCACTCAAACGCCATGATCTGCCCCACTCACTCACGCGCCATGATCTTCCCCACTCACTCACGCGCCATGATCTGCCCCACTCACTCACGCACCATGATCTGCCCCACTCAATCACGCGCCATGATCTGCCCTACTCACTCACGCGCCATGATCTGTCCCACCCACTCACGCGCCATGATCTGCCCCACTCACTCAAACGCCATGATCTGCCCCACTCACTCACGCGCCATGATCTGCCCCACTCACTCACACGCCATGATCTGCCCCACTCACTCACGCGCCATGATCTGCCCCACTCAATCACGCGCCATGATTTGCCCCACTCACTCACGCGCCATGATCTGCCCCACTCACTCACGCGCCATGATCTACCCCACTCACTCACCCGCCATGATCTGCCCCACTCACTCACGCGCCATGATCTGCCCCACTCAATCACGCGCCATGATCTGCCCCACTCACTCACGCGCCATGCTCTGCCCCACTCACTCCACGCGCCATGATCTGCCCCACTCACTCAAACGCCATGATCTGCCCCACTCACTCACGCGCCATGATCTGCCCCACTCACTCACGCGCCATGATCTGCCCCACTCACTCACGCGCCATGATCTGCCCCTCTCACTCACGCGCCATGATCTGCCCCACTCACTCACGCGCCATGATCTGCCCCACTCACTCACGCGCCATGCTCTGCCTGCCCCACTCACTCACGCGCCATGATCTGCCCCACTCACTCATGCGCCATGATCTGCCCCACTCACTCACGCACCATGATCTGCCCCACTCAATCAAACGCCATGATCTGCCCCTCTCACTCACGCGCCATGATCTGCCCCACTCACTCACGCGCCATGATCTGCCCCACTCACTCACGCGCCATGATCTGCCCCACTCACTCCACGCGCCTTGATCTGCCCCACTCACTCACGCGCCATGATCTGCCCCTCTCACTCACGTGCCATGATCTGCCCCACTCACTCATGCGCTGATCTGCCCCTCTCACTCACGCGCCATGATCTGCCCCACTCACTCACGCGCCATGCTGTGCCCCTCTCACTCACGCGCCATGATCTGCCCCACTCACTCAAACGCCATGATCTGCACCACTCACTCACGCGCCATGATCTGCCCCACTCACTCACGCGCCATGATCTGCTCTGCCCCACTCACTCACGCGCCAAAACTGCCCCTCTCACTCAAACGCCATGATCTGCCCCACTCACTCACGCGCCATGATCTTCCCCACTCACTCACGCGCCATGATCTGCCCCACTCACTCACGCGCCATGATCTGCCCCACTCAATCACGCGCCATGATCTGCCCCACTCACTCACGCGCCATGATCTGTCCCACCCACTCACGCGCCATGATATGCCCCACTCACTCAAACGCCATGATCTGCCCCACTCACTCACGCGCCATGATCTGCCCCACTCACTCACACGCCATGATCTGCCCCACTCACTCACGCGCCATGATCTGCCCCACTCAATCACGCGCCATGATTTGCCCCACTCACTCACGCGCCATGATCTGCCCCACTCACTCACGCGCCATGATCTACCCCACTCACTCACGCGCCATGATCTGCCCCACTCACTCACGCGCCATGATCTGCCCCACTCACTCACGCGCCGTGATCTGCCCCACTCACTCACGCGCCATGATCTGCCCCTCTCACTCACGCGCCATGATCTGCCCCACTCACTCACGCCATGATCTGCCCCACTCACTCACGCGCCATGATCTGCCCCACTCACTCACGCGCCATGCTCTGCCCCACTCACTCACGCGCCATGCTCTGCCCCACTCACTCACGCGCCATGATCTGCCCCACTCACTCACGCGCCATGCTGTGCCCCTCTCACTCACGCGCCATGATCTGCACCACTCACTCACGCGCCATGATCTGCCCCACTCACTCACGCGCCATGATCTGCCCCACTCACTCACGCACCATGATCTGCCCCACTCACTCACGCGCCATGCTGTGCCCCTCTCACTCACGCGCCATGATCTGCCCCACTCACTCAAACGCCATGATCTGCACCACTCACTCACGCGCCATGATCTGCCCCACTCACTCATGCGCCATGATCTGCTCTGCCCCACTCACTCACGCGCCAAAACTGCCCCACTCACTCAAACGCCATGATCTGCCCCACTCACTCACGCGCCATGATCTTCCCCACTCACTCACGCGCCATGATCTGCCCCACTCACTCACGCACCATGATCTGCCCCACTCAATCACGCGCCATGATCTGCCCTACTCACTCACGCGCCATGATCTGTCCCACCCACTCACGCGCCATGATCTGCCCCACTCACTCAAACGCCATGATCTGCCCCACTCACTCACGCGCCATGATCTGCCCCACTCACTCACACGCCATGATCTGCCCCACTCACTCACGCGCCATGATCTGCCCCACTCAATCACGCGCCATGATTTGCCCCACTCACTCACGCGCCATGATCTGCCCCACTCACTCACGCGCCATGATCTACCCCACTCACTCACCCGCCATGATCTGCCCCACTCACTCACGCGCCATGATCTGCCCCACTCAATCACGCGCCATGATCTGCCCCACTCACTCACGCGCCATGCTCTGCCCCACTCACTCCACGCGCCATGATCTGCCCCACTCACTCAAACGCCATGATCTGCCCCACTCACTCACGCGCCATGATCTGCCCCACTCACTCACGCGCCATGATCTGCCCCACTCACTCACGCGCCATGATCTGCCCCTCTCACTCACGCGCCATGATCTGCCCCACTCACTCACGCGCCATGATCTGCCCCACTCACTCACGCGCCATGCTCTGCCTGCCCCACTCACTCACGCGCCATGATCTGCCCCACTCACTCATGCGCCATGATCTGCCCCACTCACTCACGCACCATGATCTGCCCCACTCAATCAAACGCCATGATCTGCCCCTCTCACTCACGCGCCATGATCTGCCCCACTCACTCACGCGCCATGATCTGCCCCACTCACTCACGCGCCATGATCTGCCCCACTCACTCCACGCGCCTTGATCTGCCCCACTCACTCACGCGCCATGATCTGCCCCTCTCACTCACGTGCCATGATCTGCCCCACTCACTCATGCGCTGATCTGCCCCACTCACTCACGCGCCATGATCTGCCCCACTCACTCATGCGCCATGATCTGCCCCACTCACTCACGCACCATGATCTGCCCCACTCACTCACGCGCCATGATCTTCCCCACTCACTCACGCGCCATGATCTGCCCCACTCACTCACGCGCCATGATCTGCCCCACTCACTCACGCGCCATGCTCTGCTCCACTCACTCACGCGCCATGCTCTGCCCCACTCACTCAAACGCCATGATCTGCCCCACTCACTCACGCGCCATGATCTGCCCCACTCACTCACGCGCCATGATCTGCCCCACTCACTCACGCACCATGATCTGCCCCACTCAATCACGCGCCATGATCTACCCCACTCACTCACGCGCCATGATCTGCCCAACTCACTCACGCGCCATGATCTGCCCCAATCACTCACGCGCCATGATCTGCCCCACTCACTCACGCGCCATGATCTGCCCCACTCACTCACGCGCCATGATCTGCCCCAGTCACTCACGCACCATGATCTACCCCACTCACTCACACGCCATGATCTGCCCCACTCACTCACGCGCCATGATCTGCCCCACTCACTCACGCGCCATGATCTGCCCCTCTCACTCACGCGCCATGCTCTGCCCCACTCACTCACGCGCCATGCTCTGCCCCACTCACTCACGCGCCATGATCTGCCCCACTCAATCACGCGCCATGATCTACCCCACTCACTCACGCGCCATGATCTGCCCCACTCACTCACGCGCCATGATCTGCCCCATTCACTCACGCGCCATGATCTGCCCCACTCACTCACGCGCCATGATCTGCCCCACTCACTCACGCGCCATGATCTGCCCCACTCAATCACGCGCCATGATCTACCCCACTCACTCACGCACCATGATCTGCCCCACTCACTCACGCGCCATGATCTGCCCCATTCACTCACGCGCCATGATCTGCCCCACTCACTCACGCGCCATGATCTGCCCCACTCACTCACGCGCCATGATCTGCCCCTCTCACTCACGCGCCATGCTCTGCCCCACTCACTCACGCGCCATGCTCTGCCCCACTCACTCACGCGCCATGATCTGCCCCACTCACTCACGCCCCATGATCTGCCCCACTCACTCACACGCCATGATCTGCCCCACTCACTCACGCGCCATGATCTGCCCCACTCAATCACGCGCCATGATTTGCCCCACTCACTCACGCGCCATGATCTGCCCCACTCACTCACGCGCCATGATCTACCCCACTCACTCACACGCCATGATCTGCCCCACTCACTCACGCGCCATGATCTGCCCCACTCACTCACGCGCCATGATCTGCCCCACTCACTTACGCGCCATGCTCTGCCCCTCTCACTCACGCGCCATGATCTGCCCCACTCACTCACGCGCCATGATCTGCCCCACTCACTCAAGCGCCATGATCTGCCCCACTCACTCACGCGCCATGATCTGCCCCACTCACTCACGCGCCATGATCTGCCCCACTCACTCACGCGCCATGATCTGCCCCACTCACTCACGCGCCATGATCTGCCCCACTCACTCACGCGCCATGATCTGCCCCACTCACTCACGTGCCATGATCTGCCCCACTCACTCACGCGCCATGATCTGCCCCACTCACTCACGCGCCATGATCTGCCCCACTCACTCACGCGCCATGATCTGCCCCACTCACTTACGCGCCATGCTCTGCCCCTCTCACTCACGCGCCATGATCTGCCCCACTCACTCACGCGCCATGATCTGCCCCACTCACTCACGCGCCATGATCTGCCCCACTCACTCACGCGCCATGATCTGCCCCACTCACTCACGCGCCATGATCTGCCCCACTCACTCACGCGCCATGATCTGCCCCACTCACTCACGCGCCATGATCTGCCCCACTCACTCACGCGCCATGATCTGCCCCTCTCACTCACGCGCCATGCTCTGCCCCACTCACTCACGCGCCATGCTCTGCCCCACTCACTCACGCGCCATGATCTGCCCCACTCACTCACGCGCCATGATCTGCCCCACTCACTCACACGCCATGATCTGCCCCACTCACTCACGCGCCATGATCTGCCCCACTCAATCACGCGCCATGATTTGCCCCACTCACTCACGCGCCATGTTCTGCCCCACTCACTCACGCGCCATGATCTACCCCACTCACTCACACGCCATGATCTGCCCCACTCACTCACGCGCCATGATCTGCCCCACTCACTCACGCGCCATGATCTGCCCCACTCACTCACGCGCCATGATCTGCCCCTCTCACTCACGCGCCATGCTCTGCCCCACTCACTCACGCGCCATGCTCTGCCCCACTCACTCACGCGCCATGATCTGCCCCACTCACTCACGCGCCATGATCTGCCCCACTCACTCACACGCCATGATCTGCCCCACTCACTCACGCGCCATGATCTGCCCCACTCAATCACGCGCCATGATTTGCCCCACTCACTCACGCGCCATGATCTGCCCCACTCACTCACGCGCCATGATCTACCCCACTCACTCACACGCCATGATCTGCCCCACTCACTCACGCGCCATGATCTGCCCCACTCACTCACGCGCCATGATCTGCCCCACTCACTCACGCGCCATGATCTGCCCCACTCACTTACGCGCCATGCTCTGCCCCTCTCACTCACGCGCCATGATCTGCCCCACTCACTCACGCGCCATGATCTTGTTGTAATTTCATATTTTATACAACATACATAGGCTAGAAGTGTAGCACATTTTATCAATTGGGGGGTTGCTTAGTGTACCCTCCAACCACATTTTGTGGTTGGTTGGGATTGGTCCTTAGCTCAACCAATCCCAACCAACACACATTTGTGGTTGCTTGGGTCACAAGCAAGCTCACCCATTGGCCAACTTATTGGCCAATAGAGAAAGCTTCCCTCTCATCTCTCTCTTGCTCATTGTTTGTACTAAAGAGCCTCTTGGCTCATTATTCAATGCATCAATTCTCTCACTTGCAACATGGTATCAGAGCTAATGGCTCACGCCTTCCTCCCTCGGTCCTTAGGCCACCCTCTCCTCCCCGTTCCTCAGATCTAGCCCCACCCACGGAGCTGCCCTCCCTTCACGCGCCCTTTAGGCGCTGTCCTCCCTCCCCGTGCGCCCCCTAAGGCGCTGCCCTCCAAGGCACGCCCAGATCTGCACCTCCAGCGCCCAGATCTGCACCTCCAGCGCCCAGATCTGCACCTCCAGCGCCCAGATCTGCACCTCCAACGCCCAGATCTGCAACTCCAGCGCCCAGATCTGCACCTCCAGCGCCCAGATCTGCACCTCCAGCGACCAGATCTACTCCTCCCGCGCCTAGATCTGATCATTCCGCGCCCAGATCTGGATTCCGCGCCACCAGATCTCCTCCTCCAGCGCCCAGATCTGCACCTCCAGCGCCCAGATCTGAACCTCCAACGCCCAGATCTGCACCTCCAGCGCCCAGATCTGCAACTCCAGCGCCCAGATCTGCACCTCCAGCGCCCAGATCTGCACCTCCAGCGACCAGATCTACTCCTCCCGCGCCTAGATCTGATCATTCCGCGCCCAGATCTGGATTCCGCGCCACCAGATCTCCTCCTCCCGCACCCAGATCTGCACTCCGCCCGCCCAGATCCGCCCTCCACGCGCCCAGATCTGCCCTCCGCGCGCCCAGATCAGCCCTCCGCGCGCCCAGATCTGGCCTCCGCGCGCCCAGATCTGCCCTCCGCGCGCCCAGATCTGCCCTCCGCGCGCCCAGATCTGCCCCTCCCCCATAGCATCGCCCTCCTTCTCCTCCACCCAACCCACCCTCCGCTCCTCCCTTCCTCCTCCCATCCTACAAGCAGCAGTACCAACACCGGCACCGGCAACGCCTCCACCAGCAGCACCAGCAGCGGCACCAGCAGTCATCCGCGCCTTCCACACCTCCCTCTCTGAGGACTCCCATGAGGAGTTCCTTGACCTCCACCTTTATGACTCCTTGCTTCTACCCATCACGTTCGATCTCTCCGGCACACCTGTCTTCGCCTTCTCCTCTGCTCCCTCTATTTTCGTTCCTACCACGTACGAGGAGGCAATGGCGTGCCCTGACGCTCCGCTTTGGCTCGCCGCCATCATCAAGGAGCTGGAGGCCTTTATCGGCAACTCCTCTTTTGTCGATGTGCCTCGCCCTCCCGCCCCTACGAACGTGGTGAAAGGAAAGTGGGTGTTTCGCGTCAAGCAGCTGCCAGGGGAGCCGCCCGTCTATAAGGCTCGTTACTGCGCCAAGGGGTTCACGCAGCGGTATGGTTTTGACTTCTTCGATACCTTCTCCCCTACTGCCAAGCCTGCTACTGTTCGCGCGGTGCTCGACCTCGCCGCTCGCCTCAATATGGAGATCCACTCGATGGACGTTTCTAACGCCTTCCTACAAGGCGTCCTCCGCGAGCTTATCTACATGGAGCGTCCAGCCGGCTTTCACCTTCCCTTCCCAGCAGACTCTGTCTGGCAGTTGCGTCGACCTGTGTATGGGCTCCGACAGGCCCCTAGAGAGTGGCATGCTAAGCTTGCCGCCACCCTTGGTGAACTTGGGTTTCGCACCTCCCGCTCCGACGCCAGCCTCTTCCTCCGCACCTCCCCCTCCCCCTTCTACATCCTTGTATATGTCGATGACATGATTCTACTCACCGCCGACCTTGCTGAGTTGGAACGTGTTAAGGCTGAGTTGGGTAGCCGACTCAAGTGCAAGGACTTGGGAGAGCTGCAGCATTACCTGGGCATGACCATCACCCGCGACCGCTCCGCCCGCACCATCTCTCTCTCCCAGGGTCATTACTTGCAGCAGGTCTTGGAGCGGTTTGACATGGTCCGCGGTGGCGCCCAACCTACTCCTCTTTCTGTCGGGCACCACCTCTCTCAACCCACCTCCCCCTCAGCCTCCTCCCATCCTTATCCCGAGCTCATCGGCTCCCTCATGTACGCCATGGTCTCCACTCGCCCTGACCTTGCCTACCCCATCAGCGTCCTCGCTCGTTTTGTTGGCGCAGGCAAGCATACGGAAGAGCACTGGCAGGCCGCCAAGCGTGTCCTCCGGTACCTTCGTGGCACCAAGGACTATGTCCTTACCCTTGGCGGCCCCTCCCCACCTCTCCTCAGCGGCTACAGTGACTCCTCCTGGGCTGATTCCCGGCCAGATCGTCGCTCCTCCCAGGGCTATGGCTTCTCTCTTGGCAGCGGCCTTATCAGCTGGCGCTCCACCCGCTCCTCGGCTGCAGCCCTCTCCTCCTGCGAGGCGGAATTGTATGCCGCCACCATGGCTGCGCAAGAGGCCCGCTGGCTCACCTTCCTTCTTGAGGAACTTGGTGCCCCCCAGCGCTGTCCCACAATTTGGTGTGACAATGCTAGTACCATTCACCTCACCAAAGATGCTGTGTTTCACGGGCGCTCCAAGCACATTGAGCTCCGTCATTTCTTCATTCGCGATCTTGTTCAGGCGGGGCACCTTCGCCTCGACAAGGTTGACTCGGCGGCCAACCTTGCCGACATCTTCACAAAAGCTCTTCCTCACGCCGCTCACTCTTTCCTACTTCGTCTTCTTGGCCTCACTCCTCCTAAGTCTCCTCCCGCCTCTTGATTCTAGCCTTCTAGCCTTATGCATGTTGGGGGGTTGTGTTGTAATTTCATATTTTATACAACATACATAGGCTAGAAGTGTAGCACATTTTATCAATTGGGGGGTTGCTTAGTGTACCCTCCAACCACATTTTGTGGTTGGTTGGGATTGGTCCTTAGCTCAACCAATCCCAACCAACACACATTTGTGGTTGCTTGGGTCACAAGCAAGCTCACCCATTGGCCAACTTATTGGCCAATAGAGTAAGCTTCCCTCTCATCTCTCTCTTGCTCATTGTTTGTACTAAAGAGCCTCTTGGCTCATTATTCAATGCATCAATTCTCTCACTTGCAACAGATCTGCCCCACTCACTCAAGCGCCATGATCTGCCCCACTCACTCACGCGCCATGATCTGCCCCACTCACTCACGCGCCATGATCTGCCCCACTCACTCATGCGCCATGATCTGCCCCACTCACTCACGCGCCATGATCTGCCCCACTCACTCACGCGCCATGATCTGCCCCACTCACTCACGCGCCATGATCTGCCCCACTCACTCACGTGCCATGATCTGCCCCACTCACTCACGCGCCATGATCTGCCCCACTCACTCACGCGCCATGATCTGCCCCACTCACTCACGCGCCATGATCTGCCCCACTCACTCACGCGCCATGATCTGCCCCTCTCACTTACGCGCCATGCTCTGCCCCTCTCACTCACGCGCCATGATCTGCCCCACTCACTCACGCGCCATGATCTGCCCCACTCACTCAAGCGCCATGATCTGCCCCACTCACTCACGCGCCATGATCTGCCCCACTCACTCACGCGCCATGATCTGCCCCACTCACTCACGCGCCATGATCTGCCCCACTCACTCACGCGCCATGATCTGCCCCACTCACTCACGCGCCATGATCTGCCCCACTCACTCCACGCGCCTTGATCTGCCCCACTCACTCACGCGCCATGATCTGCCCCTCTCACTCACGCGCCATGATCTGCCCCACTCACTCATGCGCTGATCTGCCCCACTCACTCACGCGCCATGATCTGCCCCACTCACTCACGCGCCATGATCTGCCCCACTCACTCACGCACCATGATCTGCCCCACTCACTCACGCGCCATGATCTTCCCCACTCACTCACGCGCCATGATCTGCCCCACTCACTCACGCGCCATGATCTGCCCCACTCACTCACGCGCCATGATCTGCCCCACTCACTCACGCGCCATGCTCTGCCCCACTCACTCACGCGCCATGATTTGCCCCACTCACTCACACGCCATGATCTGGCCCACTCACTCACGCGCCATGATCTGCCCCACTCACTCCACGCGCCATGATCTCCCCCACTCACTCACGCGCCATGATCTGCCCCACTCACTCAAACGCCATGATCTGCCCCACTCACTCACGCGCCATGATCTGCCCCACTCACTCACGCGCCATGATCTGCCCCACTCACTCACGCGCCATGATCTGCCCCACTCAATCACGCGCCATGATCTGCCCCACTCACTCACGCGCCATGATCTGCCCCACTCACTCACGCGCCATGATCTGCCCCATTCACTCACGCGCCATGATCTGCCCCACTCACTCACGCGCTATGATCTACCCCACTCACTCACACGCCATGATCTGCCCCACTCACTCACGCGCCATGATCTGCCCCACTCACTCACGCGCCATGATCTGCCCCACTCACTCACGCGCCAGGATCTGGCCCACTCACTCATGCGCCATGATCTGCCCCACTCACTCCACGCGCCATGATCTGCCCCACTCACTCAAACGCCATGATCTGCCCCACTCACTCACGCGCCATGATCTGCCCCACTCACTCACGCGCCATGATCTGCCCCACTCACTCACGTGCCATGATCTGCCCCACTCACTCACGCGCCATGATCTGCCCCACTCACTCACGCGCCATGATCTGCTCCTCCTGCAACATCATCGCCTTGCCCACTCCGGGTGGCCCCATGTAGAAGTCTATGGGCATCATGGGCACCTGCACACGTGCGGGGGGGAGAGACATGGGCAGCACGGGAGACACGGGAGACACGGGAGGAGTTATGAGGCGCCTCAGACTCAGACATCAGCCTGCGCACCCCTGCCACTCCGGGTGGCCCCATGTAGAAAGTCAACGGGCATCATGGGCACCTGGAGTGCGGGTGAGACGGGGGAGACAAGGTATGAGGCGCCTCAGATCAGATGTCAGCCTGCGTGCCTTGCGCACTCGGCATGGCATGGTGGCCCCATGTAAAAGTCATAATTGGCACATTGGGCATCATGGGCACCTGTGGTGCAGGTGTGCACCGAACAGAAGAGGACGAGCTTTAAAGTAGCACCAACGATTTTGGTAGCCAATCCGCGCAGATCGGAGCATCATCTGGTGGGCTGACCGGCGGGTTGGGCCGACCCGCCCCCGACAGGTCGCTAGTACCCAGCAGATAACCTAAATTTCGATTCTCGAGTCGATCGGACCCGAGACCAGAAACCAGATCTGTTACTTCCAGCCAGCTCCGCTAGAGCTGCAACCTCGACCCATCGCGAGAAAAGATGGGGACGAGTGCGGTCGACCGGACCCGTTGGGTCATTACGTTGTCTAGAATCAGCAGAGCACGAGGAGCATGAATATGGCAGGTTGTGGAGCATGGCATGGGTTTGGCAGCTGGTGGAGCATGAGTCGTACCTGGTCCAGCATGAGTCATACCTGGTCCAGCATGAGTCATACCTGGTCCAGCATGAGTCATACCTGGTCAGCATGAGTCATACCTGGTCCAGCATGAGTCATACCTGGTCCAGCATGAGTCATACCTGGTCCAGCATGAGTCATACCTGGTCCAGCATGAGTCATACCTGGTCCAGCATGAGTCATACCTGGTCCAGCATGAGTCATACCTGGTCCAGCATGAGTCATACCTGGTCCAGCATGAGTCATCCCTGGTCCAGCATGAGTCATACCTGGTCCAGCATGAGTCATACCTGGTCCAGCATGAGTCATACCTGGTCCAGCATGAGTCATACCTGGTCCAGCATGAGTCATACCTGGTCCAGCATGAGTCATACCTGGTCCAGCATGAGCCATACCTGGTCCAGCATGAGCCATACCTGGTCCAGCATGACTCCCAGGATGCCCAAGTCCACCACCAGGCTGGGAGGAGGGAAGGCAGCAGACGGATGAGAGGTGCTAAGCCAACAATAAGGCAGGCAGGCAACAAGCAAGCATGCAAGGAGCTGGGCAGGGAAGGGAGCGAGGGAGAACGGGAACAAGGGAGAACTGGAACAAGGGAGAACGGGAACAAGGGAGAACGGGAACAAGGGAGAACGGGAACAAGGGAGAACGGGAACACGGGAGAACGGGAACAAGGGAGAACGGGAACAAGGGAGAACGGGAACAAGGGAGAACGGGAACAAGGGAGAACGGGAACAAGGGAGAACGGGAACAAGGGAGAACAGGAACAAGGGAGAACGGGAACAAGGGAGAACGGGAACAAGGGAGAACGGGAACAAGGGAGAACGGGAACAAGGGAGAACGGGAACAAGGGAGAACGGGAACAAGGGAGAACGGGAACAAGGGAGAACGGGAACAAGGAGCAAGGGAGCGAGGGAGCAAGGGAGCAAGGAGCAAGGGAGCGAGGGAGCAAGGGAGAAACGAAGCAATAGAGCGAGGGATAAAGAGAGCGAGGGAGCACGCGAGCAAGGGAGCGAGGGAGCGGGGCGCACGGGGCGGCGAGGCGGAAGAAGCCTTGGTCCTTGTTGGGCAGCAGCAGCTTGTTCTGCACGCTCCACCCCGCCCCCACGAAGAACATCACCACTCCCTTGTGCGCCCTGCTCATGCGGTCCGGTGCCTGCCCGCCCATGTAGTGAGTGCGGGGGAGAGGAGGGGCAGTGCAACACAAGACGTCATATGTCAGGCCTGCTCCACCATGTGTGGAGAAGCGCCTGTGTGCGCCCTCTCCTCTCCGTCCATGCGAGGCGGCGCCTGCCCGCCATCGTGTGGGGGGGAAAGGGCTGTAGCACATCATATGATGAAATCAGGTTATAAATAATTCGTATGATGTCGTACGGAACGCAGCATACTCGTATGATTATATCGATCGATGGACATTACGAATATCGATGGTCATACCAAAACGTAGAGCATCACGCCATCATATCACATAGCACAGAGGTTGCACCAGAGACGCCAGACCCATAGCACAGCACACGACAGAAGCACGTGAGTGGCACATGAGGGTCACGACGTGCCCACCATGAGAGTCATGAGGAGAGGGCAGGGGAGAGAGGGCAGGGGAGAGAGGGCAGGGGAGAGAGGGCAGGGGAGAGAGGGCAGGGGAGAGAGGGCAGGGGAGAGAGGGCAGGGGATGAGAGAAGGCAGCTGAGAGAGGGCAGGGGAGAGAGAGCAGGGGAGAGAGAGCAGGGGAGAGGGCAGGGAGAGGGCAGGATAGAAGGCAGGGGAGAGAGAGCAGGGGAGAAGGCAGGGGAGAGGGCAGGGGAGAGGGCAGGGGAGAGGGCAGGGGAGAGGGCAGGGGAGAGGGCAGGGGAGAGGGCAGGGGAGAGGGCAGGGGAGAGGGCAGGGGAGAGGGCAGGGGAGAGGGCAGGGGAGAGGGCAGGGGAGAGGGCAGGGGAGAAGGCAGGGGAGAGGGCAGGGGAGAGGGCAGGGGAGAGGGCAGGGGAGAGGGCAGGGGAGAGGGCAGGGGAGAGGGCAGGGGAGAGGGCAGGCACCATGAGAGTCATGAAGTGCCACCAGACGTGGCGGTTGGTGGCGGACCTATTGAGCCAGCGGTGCAGCGATACCTCCAGAATGTACCCCGTCCACCTCCCCCCCTTCTCCCGCCCGCGCATGCGCTGCCCCGTGTCCTTCCACCTGCTTGCGGGGGGGGGGGGGGGGGGGGGGGGGGGGAACGGGGGGGAGGGAAGAGGGGGGGAGGGGGAAAAGGGGGGAAAAGGGGAAGCGGGGAAGGGGTGGGGGTGTGGCGAAAAAGGGGGAGGGGGAGGGTAGGGCATGGAGACAATTTGTTGAGCCAGCGGTGCAGCATCACCTCCAGGTTGTATCCCGTCCACCGCCCCCCTTTCTCCCGCCCGCACATCCGCTGCCCCATGTCCTTCCACCCCCGCGCGCATGTGGAGGGGGGAGGGGGGGAAGGGGGTTAGGGGAGGGAGGGAGGGAGGGAGGGAAGGGGAGGAGTAAGAGCGCGCGAGAGCAGTAACGCATGGGGAGGGAGGCGGTGCGTGGGGGAAGCGGCGCGTGGGACAGCGACGGGGGTCAGCGGTGGGGGGGGCAGCGGCGCGTGGGGAAAGCGGCGCGGAGGGACGCGGCGCGTGGGGTCAGCGGCGGGGGGGACAGCGGCGGGAGGAGAACGCAGCGCCGCCGGGCGCAGCCCTCATACGTGGTTCAGGGGCCCCCGGAGCGGCAAGCACAGGGGTGGGCACGCACATTAAAAACCCGAAAGAAGCCTTGAAGGAGCTCCGAGGAAGCTTCGACGAGTCGCGCACCTGAACTCCGCGTCGTGTTTGAGGTACACGTGTCGGTCCAGCAGCGTCCCCGTGCAGTTGCGCGCCGCCTCGCACCCGCTCTGCGGCAGCGCCGTCGCCTGCCGCTCAGGCGCCGCGGGACGGAATAAGAACGCGGGACGCGTCAGCAGCGCTAATACGTAGACGAAGGAGAGCACTATAGCGAGTACGACCAACCGACCCAGGATTCTAGAGAGGCCGCGGGGAAGGTGGCGGTGCGGCCGGGCGGCACTGGGATCGTGCGGGCGCGACATTTGGCGCTGCGAGTGTTTTGTCAGGTAAAGCACCTCTTCCTTTCGTGAAATGTTTCTACCCATCACCAAATCCAGGCGCTCCAAACCTATCACTCTCAGTACTGTACATCGGGGTCGGATCGGTCGGTAGTCCTACCCGGTACACGTGCTGCCGGTGGAGCGACGCAGCTCGTTACTGTAACAGGTGCACCTGAACAGTGTATTACGGCCAAGCTCAGAAATTCGGGACCAATTCTACACGTGGGAACTCGCCAGGTGTTTAGGGTTCACCCCTCCCCGAGCCCTTTCCGTTTGCCAGCAGTACCGGAACTGTAGTGTGATATTTGTGAGTTGAGCAACTACAGTCAAACTTCGTTTGTAGTCAAACTTCGCTTAGGGCGCGTGTCTTTTTTTTAAGAGGTTCGGCAATTTGGATTACCTTTAAATGGTAACCCTTCTCACAAATGTCGCCAATTGTTTTGCTTGTGCATCGTGTGTCCTAGTACAGCATTGTAGATGAAGTAGTACACTAAACCTGGGCTGATCTTTCTGCTCAAACCATGCGTGAACGAAATTCACTCGTGTCCTTTTGACATACACTAGGTATTTGCGAAATTGACGACAGTCGCAGCACATGTTGTTCGCACGAGCGACTTCAGAAAATAGTGTTCCTGGTAACCTACGAGGGCTGGCCGCAACTCGGGAAAGCTCATCTTCGATAGTCGAACTTTAGTGTGGTGTGATATTTGTGAGTTGAGGAGCAGCGACTCGGGCTACAGCTGCCGATATTGTCGAGCCTAGGTCGACCTAGGTTCAACTGTGTATAGTTCAACCAGAACCTCGAGTTTTGCATATAAATTTCAAAAGACACGCGCCCTTACAGTACACTGTCTGGGTCGGTGAGCGAATCAGAGCGGTGCAGGAAAATAAACAACTTGTGAACTGGAAGTGAACCAGACTGGCCCTGAAGTGAACACACAGCCACACGAGTGAAAAGCTGATCACAACTGGGGCTGTCGATTGGTCTGGGTCCAAACCAAACCACTTCGTTGTCCGAGCGTATTTCGGCGACCTCGGAAACGCGATATTAGTATGCTCGTTATAGAACTGGGCACATTTACTAGAAGCGAAATGGTTACACGCCCTTTTTATATTCCACTATCGGGTAGTACAGTTTCTTGGCATTCCCTTGTTCACAACTTTCCCCAAACCCTTCTCCCCAGACCCAACAATCATCTCCCTCGCACCCCGCCATCCCATACCACCGATCTAGCCATCGCCTCTCTCACCCACCTCGCCGTCACCTCTCCCTCTCACCCCTCCGTCGCCTCTCCCTTTCGTCCTGCCGTCGCCTCCCCCTTAGCCCGCCGTCGCCTTCCCGCCGTCGCCTTCCCGCCGTCGCCTTCCCGCCGTCGCCTCCCCTTCCCATCCCGCCGTCGCCTCCCCCTCCCATCCCGTCGTCGCCTCCCCCTCTCATCCCGTCGTAACCGCTGGCGACAGCTGCACGAGCGTGACTTGGCGGGCGAGCGCGGGTTGGTCTCTCGGGCGCCTTGATTTTCCTCACTTTCTTACATATTTCGTAGGTTCTGTGTTTCAATTGGTTTCCTCTTGCGTTGCTCTTCCATTCAATGAAGGGGAGAGAGGTAGCGCGAGGGAGAGCGTGTACGGGAGCGAGCACGCAGGAGAGTGCGCGTGAGAGCGAGTACGGGAGGGAACACGCAGGAGAGCGCATGTGAGTGCGAAGAAAGTGCTTGAGGGAGCGAGTGAGGGAGCACCAAGAGCGTGTGGGAGGGAGAGGCGGGAGAGAGAGCACCGTGGGTGCCATAATTTTTCGACTAAGCTAAGCGCCCTGAGTCAAGGTTGAAGAACTTGGGCTGTGGGCTTTAAGATTGACTGTTCATATCATTACCCTTGAGTTTATGCCGTGGAGAAAACCTCCGCTGGCTCTTGCACCATCAGCAGCACCCGTTTTGCCATTCTCAACCCCTCAATCCATCAAACCCCCAACCCCTCAACCCCTTAACCCATCAACCCCTCAACCCCCCAACCCTCCAACCCCTCAACTCCTCAACCCCCCAACCCCTCAAGCCCCCAACCCCCTTACTCCTTCACCCCCCAACCCCTCAACCCCCCAACCCTCCAACCCCTCAACTCCTCAACCCCCTCCAAAATCTTCACTCGCTGATGAAACAGGTGTGTGAGTACACCGAGTACACGGAGCAAGCGAGGAGGATGGTGGATACCAAGGTATCGGCGGATGCAGGGCCTCAAGGCGAAAAAGGCGGGGGAAAGGGAAGCGGCGAGAAGGCCTTGAGTGAGAAAGCGCAGGCACGGAAGCGGGCGAAGCTGGAGAGGCTAAAGAAGAAACTGGCGCAAAAGAAAGCAGCCAAGCGTGGACCTGGCAGCAAAGAGGCAGGCGAGGCGGCAGGGGGGCCAACGGCCGTAGGGAATGGGCGTGGGGGCGAGGAGAGGGAAGGGAAGCGGAGGCGCATGGTGAAGCACCCCATGCGAGTGGCGGGGCAGCGGCCAGGCGAGCAGTGCTTCTCGTGTGGCGCCGCAAACCACGCCGCCAAGGATTGCCCGAAACGAAAGGAGTGCAAAGTGTCCAAGGTGAGTGCTCGTCGCTGCGTCTCTCTCCTCCACCTCCACCTTGCCCTCGCCTTCCGGCGTCTACTGCAGTAAGCGTAAGATCCACTGCCATGACGTTCTACTGTCCTCCGTACTCCACGACGTTCGCCGCCCTGCTTCCTTCCCTCCTTCACCCCCTGCATGACTCACTCCGTCCCTCCTTCTCTCTCGCTATTTCCCATCCGTGCGCGCGCGGTGTCCCGCCAGGTGTGTCTCTTCTGCCGGCAGTGGGGCCATGTGGTCAGCGAGTGCCCGCGAGCTGCCTCGGCGTCCGCGCCCGCTGTGCTGCAGCCGCCAGGCGCCTCTGGCGAGCAGGGGACGGGGGAAGCAGCATTCGAGGGAGAAGGGCGTGAGCAAGACGACAAGAGTGCGGGCGGCACAGAGGGGCTGGGAGTGGGGGTCTGCTACAACTGTGGCTCCACGCGCCATCGCCTGCACAACTGCCCTTTGCCGCGAGCCAACGGTACGTGTTGAACGGCCTTATGGTACTTGGTGATTGGGTTCGCTGCCCATGCTGCTCGTCACCTGCGGGCCGTTTGGCGGTGGCGGTGGCGGTGGAGGATGGATGCCCTTGCTGCATGCGGTGAATGCCCTCCCTGTGATCATGCGCCACTCGTGTGCATCAGCAACCCCCAGCACCCTTTTGTCCCCCACTCATGGCTGACTTGCCCATGGGTTGTGCTGCGTTGCTGCTGGTTGGTGGTTGGCGTTGCAGGGGGAGCAGCGCATGCAGTGTGCTTTGTGTGCCAGCAGAAAGGACATCTCAGTCGTGACTGTCCACAGAACCCCAACGGCCTCTATCCCAAGGTGCTCTTTATATCAGATAATTTGTTCTCCAGATCTTGCAAAGGCTGTTAGTTCTTCGCGATGCTTCTTTTGCAGGTCCCTGTGTTAGACACACTTTGGTTTTCGTTGTTGCTGGCGATGTAGCAATCTTGTTGAGCGTATGGCATTTGTGTATTGTGCGTGTGTGCATGTCTTTTGCACATCTTTCAGGGTGGCTGTTGTCGCTTGTGTGGACTCAAGACCCATCTTGCTCGTGACTGTCCTTCAAAGCACGCTGCTGCTACGTCTGCTGCTGGTGCTCTTCCTCCGGCCAGCTCTGCAAAGATGGAAGGGAGCCAAGGCACCAGGAAGCCGCTAAACAGTAAGTTGACAACGCATTTGGTTGTGCTGTGCTTGTATCTCCATACCGCACCCTGTCTCTTCCTTGTATCTCCATACCGCACCCTGTCTCTTCCTTGTACAGCGTTCTGCTTGCTTTTGAAGTTCCTCTTAAGACCATTTCCATCCCGTCCTTGACATTGAGCCCTTCTCTGCCCTCCCCTCCCCCCCCTCCCCCCCCTCCCCCCCCCTCCCCCCCCCCCCCCACCCCTCCCCTTGCCATGCCCCCACTCTCCTCCGTTTTACTCCTGTGCTTTTCTTCCCTTTTCCTGGGTAAAAGGGTTTCTAGTTCTCTCTCCTTGCCATGTGTTTCCTGCCATGTGTTGGTAATGTGAGACCCACTGCATGGTGTTGCAACCATGCTGGATGTCACATTGCAACCGGGGCGCTGCATTAAGGTTCGTGTCTTCACTTGCACATGGTTCACTGCTGTGTGCTTCTGCCCCTGCTCTGTGCTTCTGCCCCTGCTGTGTGCTTCTGCCCCTGCTGTGTGCTTCTGCCCCTGCTGTGTGCTTCTGCCCCTGCTGTGTGCTTCTGCCCCTGCTGTGTGCTTCTGCCCCTGCTGTGTGCTTCTGCCCCTGCTCTGTGCTTCTGCCCCTGCTGTGTGCTTCTGCCCCTGCTGTGTGCTTCTGCCCCTGCTCTGTGCTTCTGCCCCTGCTCTGTGCTTCTGCCCCTGCTGTGTGCTTGGAGTGCGTGCAGGGCGCCACATCTTTCCTGGAGGAGATGACTTGGGGGACGACTTTGGGGACGCTGTTTTGCAGCCACTGCAGGCGAAGCGGGGGGATCAGCAGAATGGGGAAGGTGGTGCTTTAGATGATTTTGAAGAAGCTCAAGGTAGCGATGATGAGTTGCTTATGGGGAACGAGACCGCCGGTCGGTCAGGTCGGTTGGCTGGTCGGCGTTTCAGTGGCAGGCGGGGAGGGAGAGGCCGAGGCGGCGCTTTCCATGCTGGTGGCAACAGGCGCCAGGGAAAGGGATGGTGAACAACACGGACAGCAGGGCTAACTTTAGTCTAGGGACCTGTCTGGCGTTAAGATCGGGTCCTGGTTGCTTGTCTGATTGTCAGACGAAAGCTGTAACATCGTCTAGGCTTTCTGACAAATTTGAAGTAGTTGTCTAGGCGTTCAGACGAAAATGTTGAAACAGTCTAATTATCCACTACAGCTACTCAACTAATGTACCGTAAGATCCTATTCTAAGAGGAGTCACCACTAGCATTATTGCTGCCGTTGTCATCATCACTACCGCTACCACTCTCAGACTCAGAGGTTTCCTCTAATGTAGCTGTGGCTTTGCCCTCCCTTCGCCACCCGGTGCCGGATGCTCCACTGGTGTTCCCTCATCGTTTGCTTCTGTATGTCGATGCCTCTCTCGCCCCGAGCGCCGTACTGCGACTCTGGATCTACGTACACCATGCAAATCTTGCACCTCATGCAAGGACGACCTTCGGAGTTGTCACCGAGGATAAGCCAAGGAAAGTGGCGTTGCCGCTACTGCTTGGCTTTTAGCTGCAGCTCCTCCAGCGTCTGAATCGCGGGACCGGGGTTCTTTGCATTACGGCTCTCCCCTCCATCGTCCTTAGAAGCGGGATTTCCTGCAGAGGAAGGGCTTGGGCGCTTCGAAAAAAGAAAGCTTATGTTGCACATACTTAGTTTTGCCCGAAAACCGCGGCGGAAGGAATGGCGAGCAGGATTTGAAAGGATTGTTTTTAGCAGGAGAGGCAGATGCGTGAGGTTGACCGGATGACGAACCCCCAGGAAGGCTTGTTGAGCTCAGTGATCGAACGGGGGAAAAAGGTATAAGCGGCTCGGCATCCATTTCCGCGAAAGGGTAAGGCTGCTCGGGAGACTCTGGCCTCTCATTCTCACCGGCCGAAGGAGGAACAGGAGCAGCTGAGACGGGAGTTGTGGTGAAACACCCCCCGGTAAGGAAATCAAGGTCAGTGCGTGGGCGTGGCAACGCACTGGAAGGTGGCGGAGAAGCATGCAGAGTGGAAGCTGGAGGGGCCTCCATACGAGAGTCAGAGGCCATCGTGGTGCGACAACTACAACACACTGGCTAGCTCTTGCCCACGAGGGTAAAATGAAGGACCCCTGGTGGTGATGCGGGGAGTGTGGGGGGGTGGATCGTTCGAACCAAGCCGCGATCCATGAATGTCTCCCTCTCCGCTGAAAGCTGCCGTGCCATCCACCTCCTGCTGACTCGATGCGCACTGAGGGCAGTCGGTATTGCAAATGCAGCTGTCTGCCGTGCGCTGGCACGAATATGCCAAAACAGTTGTCAAGATTCGTGCCAGCGGGGTGAGTCTGGCGCATTTGACATGAGGTGTTATCACCGACCAGAGGCAACGTACAGGCTGGCGGTGGCAGCACGGTAACGCGGCGAGTGGCAAGTCTCGTCGGGAACATTGTGCAACAGGGCATGTGGGCAATTAGCCCGGTGGGCAACTGGCCAGGTGGGGTAATTTGTCGGTAGGTATCAGATGAGAAAGCACTCGATGTCTGCAGTCTCAGACGAAACGTATAAGGATGTCTAAAAAAACAGATAAATATAGAACCTTGTCTAAAAAATCAGAATAGTTGAAATGACTTGTCTAGGCCATCAGATGAGCCCAAAAAACGTGTATGGAATCAAGACAACCAGACAAGAAAATTCTGATAACGTAGGCCCTGACAGACAGTGCAAAATGTTTAGAAAGGGTGTGTGGGGCTTTTAGAAGGTAATGAGATTGTCTAGTTTAGAGTGTAACAGTCAAAGTATATCGCTTTCAAAGTTGTGTATTGTGAAAAGTGATATGTACTGTATGACTGCGGATAGTAGCACATGTGCGCTTAATATGATCGTTTTTTTTTTTTTTTTTTTTTTTTTTTTTTGGGTTGTGAAGCAACCCTTTACAATCGATTTTGCCAGATTTTATTTTCATATTTATATTTAATCAAACATGAAAACAAAATTCGTAAACTACACGAATACCCTTCCCATACCGTGCATGTTGAGCAGTTTTATATATTGTTCACTGTCTTTCGGGTAATGATTTTCCTTCATTGTAATAGTTTGTTGTGTCTGAATGTTATCATTGTCTAGCTTGCAGTGGGGTACTCTATAGCGAGTACAACCCAATTAGGGTTTCCTATATGTATGCCTCCCCGTCTCCCTCTCGTTTCTCCACCTTCTCCCTATCGATTCCCCCCTTCCTCCTCTCGTTTACCCCCCTCCCCCCTCTCATGTTCCCCCTTTCTCCTTCTCATTTTTCGCCATTCTCCCCCTCATTCCCCCCCCCCCCCGTTCTCAAGCTCACTTCCCCCCTTTCTCCCTCCCATTTCCCCGGATGTGCCCCCTCATTCCCACCCCCTCCCCTTTCCCCCTCTTGTTCCCCCCCCATTCACCTGCTCATTTCCTCCCCTTCTGCCTCCTATTGCCCCATTCGCTGCCTCTCATTTTCGCCCCTTCTCCCTCTCATTCACCCCCCCCTTCTCCCTCTCGTTTCCCCCCCTTCTCCCTCGCATTCACCCCCCCTTCTCCCTCTCGTTTCCCCCCCTTCTCCCTCTCGTTTCCCCCCCTTCTCCCTCTCATTCACCCCCCCTTCTCCCTCTCGTTTCCCCCTTCCCCCTCTCGTCTACCCCCCTCCCCCCTCTCATGTCCCCACTTTCTCCTTCTCATTTTTCCCCATTCTCCGTCTCATCCCCCCCCACCTTCTCAAGCTCACCTACCCCCTTTCTCCCTCTTAGCTCCTCTCTTCCTACGCCCTGCTTCCCCCTTTACTCTCTCGTCCCTACACCCTTCATTCCCCTCTCCGCTCTCTACCTTATACCCTTCTACCTCCTTTGCCCTCTCTATCTTACACCCCTCTTGATCTATTCTCCACTCTGCCTTACTCCCTTCTTCCACCTTTCCCCTCTCTACTCCACACCCTTCTTCTCCCACCATGCGTTCTCCCCCTTATATCCTGCTAAGCCCCATTTCCCTCTCTTCCCTACACCCTGCTTCCCCCTCTCTCTTCTCTGCCTTACGCCCTGCTTTCCCCTTTCCCCTATCTTCCCTACACCCTTCTTCCCTCTTTCTACCCGCGCTGCTTCCCTTTTTCCCTATCTCCCTTTCCCTCTTTCACCCTGCTTCTTCCGTACCCCCTTCTGCCCCCACCTTGCGTCCTCTCTTTTTACGCCCTGCTTCCCCCTGTCCCCTCTCTGCCTTACGCCCTTTTTCCCCCTCTCTCCACTCTGCTTTACCCCCCGCTTCCCCGGTACCCCTAACCCGCCTCCCCGTTTCCCCTTCCCGCCTCCCCATTACCCCTTCCCACCTCCTCGTTTCCCCTTCCCACTCCCCATTACCCCTTCTCGCTTCCCCCTATCCCTTCGCGCCTCCCCGTTTCCCCTTCCCGCCTCCCCAATTCCCCTTCCCGCTTCCCCATTACCCCTTCCCACCTCCCCGTTTCCCTTTCCCTCCTCCCCAGTTCTCCTTCCCGCCTCCCCATTTCCTCTTCCCTCCATGCCCTCGTAACCATCTCTCCCGCCTCCCCTACCTGCCTGCCTACCCTTCCTTCCCCTGCCATAACCTTTCATCCAACTCCATCCCCTTCCAGCCCCTCCCATTCCATCCCCTTCCAGCCCCTCACATTCTCTTCCAGCCCTTCCCATCCCCTTTCAATCCCCTAACAGCTCCTCCCATCCCCCTCCAACTCCTTCCATCCCTTTCCAGTCCCTCCCATCCCCATTCAAACCCTTTCATTCTCCTTCCAGCCCCTCTGATCCTTTGCAGGCGACGAGGATGGTGTTGAAAATGACGAGGACGAAGGTGACATTGAGGGGTTCGAAAGAGAATGGGAATGGCCCATCAAGATAGATTTGCAATGAGGGCCTGAGATGCATGGGCATACGATTACCCACATGCTTGGTACGGTACTAATGAAAATTGGCCTACAGGTGTTCTTTTTATATGTAATTAGTGAGAAGTTTGAGAGGAATGATTACAATCAAACTTGATAAAGTGTAGATAGCCATATGGCCATAACGTTCCTAATATCGTGTGAAGTGAGCTTGACAAACAATGAGTTAGAAGTATATGCATGCTTTTTGAATCACCACCGGTGGCCATCAACTGAGCGAAAAGATGCTGCACGTGCTGCCTGCTGCTGTTGCATGCCTGGCATTGGTGTGCAGGAGAGGGGAGCGAGACAGTGTGGGACGCTTGATGGACCTGTTAGTGAGAGGAGTGGGGGGAACGGGACGGAAGAAGGGGAAAAAGGTGGCACATATGACAGAGCTCAAGCTAAGGGCGTATTCCTACAGCCTCCTATCAAGATTGTACTTTTGCCTGGGAAAAGTAGCGAGAGGTTTTGGGTTTAGGGGATTTTTCAGTGTGAGCTTGATAGGAGGTCAGATTGATAGGAGGATAGGAATACGCCCTAAGCTTGGAGAATTGCAGGTGGGTAAAGGAAAGTAATGAGGGGGAGAAAGAGCAATCCAGTGCCCACAAGATACACATTACCCCAAACCGGAAACGCAACCCTAAGAGTTTTCCTAGCATGCATGCCTCACCATGCCATCACGAGAACCCACAGAGTACCAGAGTGCAGCGTGAAATACTGTGTGTGAGCCGCAAGGCAAGCGGTGGAATACGCACAGTACCTGCGGGGTTTGTAATGGGGGTCCAATGTAGGGTATGAGTCTAGCCCTCTGCAACATCTGTCACCAAGGGAGGGTAATGAGAGGGACAAGGGGGGGAAGGGAGGGCGAGAAGGAGGGGAATGAGAGGGAGAAGGGAGGGGGCTGAGGGGGAGCAAGAGGGGAAATGAGATGGAGCAATGGGAGAAATGAGAGGGAGAAAGGGGGGAAATGAGAGAGAGAAGGGGGGAAATGAGGGGGAGAAGGGGGGAAATGAGAGGGAGGATGGACAGCCACATGAGAGGGATAAGGGAGGGTAATGAGAGGGAGACGGGGGGGAATTGAAGGCGGTAAGGGCGGGAAATGAGAGGGTCCAGGAGGTGAAATGAGAGGGAGAACGGGGGATAATGACGGGGAGAAGAGGGGGGGAATGTGAGGGCTAAGGGGGGGAATCGAGAGCGAATAGGGGGGAGTGTGAGGGGTAGAGGCCAGGGAACTGAGAGGGAGGAGGGGGAGAAAAGACCCGAAAACGGGGGAAAATGGAGGGGGGAAATGAGGGGTAAAGGGGGGATAAAGGTGGGTAATGAGGGGGGAGAAGGGGGGGTAATGAGAAGAGCATGTGCTAAGTGTCAGAATGTTATCATTGTCTAGCCTGCAGTGGGGTACTCTATAGCGAGTACAACCCAGTTAGGGTTTGCTATATGTATTCCTACTGCTGCTAGTGAATCTCCTCTTCCTTCATTTCTGTTTCTGCCTGCTAATCTTAACGTGCTATCAGAGCCTGTCCTTCCTTGGCCTGTGGGCCCATCAACCTGCTTCCGCTGCTACTCGATCTGTCGCACGCCCCGTGGCGTGCGACGGCGCGCGACGAGTTGCTCTCTGGCGCGCGCCCCGAGGCGTGCGGCCCCTTTTCTTCCTGGCGCGCCGGCGCCGCTGGACCTGCGCGCCCACCCCGTCGACCCTCGCGTCACCTCGGGGGACCCGCGCGCCACCCCCGTTGACCCTCGCGTCGCCCCCGAGGACCCGCGCGCCACCCCATGGAGCCGTATGCGACCCCCCTGCTGCCTCGTCGCGGCGCCCTGGGGAGCCGCGTGCGGCCTCTCGCTACCCCGTGGTGGCGCCCTGGGGGCCACGCGCCACCCCTGGAGCCGTACGCGACCCCCCCGCTGCCTCGTCGCGGCGCCCTGGGGAGCCGCGCGCGGCCCCTCGCTGCCCCGTGGTGGTGCCCTGGGGGTCGCGCGCCACCCCTGGAGCCGTGCGCGACCCCCCTTGCTGCCCTGTGGTGGCGCCCTGGGGGTCGCGCGCCGTCCGCCTCGCCGTCCCCCACGCTCCTGCCCCGTGCCACCCGTTTTAGGGTTTGGGGGTGGGGAGTGTGGGGGTGGCGGTTGTGGGGGTGCCGGTTGTGTGCGCCGTCCCCTACTCCTCCTCCTCCGTCTCCCGCTGTTGCAGCTGCCGCTCAGGGGGGTGGGTGTGTGGGAACCGGAGGAGTGGTGCTAGGGGGGTGTCGTGGGAATGGAGCTAGGGGTGCAGCAGGGGGTGTGTGATAGGGGTGTGGGGCAGCTTGGGGAGGTTGAGTGGAGGCGGCCGTCGTGTCGCCAGCAGCGCCAGTAGTCCGGAGGCTACAATCTTCGGTAGTCGCCAGTCGCCTGTGGGTCAGTTGCTCCAGTCAGGAGGCTACAATCTATGTGGAGCCAGTTATCCCTGTAGTCCGGGCCCTTGCTTCGGTAGCCACTGAGCCAGCAGCTCCTGCGTGTCTGCAGATTCAGCAGTCGCCTCCCATCTTCTCGCCCCCACAGTCTCTCCTCCTCCTCACTTGCCCTCTGTGATAGCCTCTAGCTTTACTTATCATTGTGAACTATTCTTGTGCCTGCTTGTTGTGCTGATTATACCCCACTTTGACTATGGGGGTGTGTCAGAATGTTATCATTGTCTAGCCTGCAGTGGGGTAATCTATAGCGAGTAAAACCCAATTAGGGTTTCCTATATGTATGCCTACTGATGCTAGTGAATCTCCTCTTCCTACATTTCTGTTTCTGCCTGCTAATCTTAACACTAAGCTCTCGAAGCGCGCAGGGGGTGAGGCGCCAAGCGAGAGAGACGCGCAGCCGGTGCGGCGCTGTAGATGAAAATGAGGCGCACGAACCTAGAGGAGCTAAGGGCTGAGGCGCGCCGTTGGTTCGGCGCTAACGGCGTGTGGCATTTTTCAAAATCGCAGAAAGTTCGGACGTTTTGCGACGTACGTCCGAACGCTTGCAAAGCTGGCGACATCGTACGGTCGCTTTGCGACGTGGTAAAGATGCGAGGCGACACATACGACGTCGTTTCGATTCTGGATGAGCTAGCTGGCGAGCTGGAAGGATTCTGGTACTCACACAACCGTCCGAACGGCTGGACGTCCGGACAAAACAAAGGAAAAATGTCACACGCCCTAAGGGCTGAGGCGCCACAGCGGGTTCGGCGATAAAGGGCCATGGTGCGCATCGGGTGAGGCGCTAAGTGGGAAAGGCGCGCAGCGGGTGAGGAGCCAATCGGGAGAGGCCTATCTAGCGATTGTTGAGAGTGGCGGCGTGGCCAACGCATGAAACGCGCATCCGCTCAGTGAACACGGCCCCTAAATTATCAATCGCGTGACGGCTTACTCGAGTGCAGCGACCCAGCGTCGTGATGCAACCCGTCGAGGCCTCGGTTCCTCTCTATGTGCTAGTTAGTCGCTTATCATGCTTCGGCTGGTGAGTCACTGCAAGGTTGGGTGACGGGGGAGTTTCCCGTGTTTGGAACCCTCAAAGGCGCAAGTTTTCGCAAAACCTCTCGCCACCCTCATTTGGTTTCGTTTGAGCGATTTTTTTTGGGATACTGTAAAACCGTGAACAGTACTTGCAAATGTATACGAAAGCTTTAAGGTAGTGTTGTTTTCTTCGCGCGAAAAAAATCCATAAATAAAACATTTCCTACAGCGACAAGCGGCTGTAGCTCAGTGTGAAGAAATGAGGAAGGAATGAATGAACTAGCAAGCAGGTGGGTACAAGTAGGAAAACCTAAAAGTGTTGTACCCCATATTGTCTACCCCACTACAGCCTAGACAGACTATAGCATTTGAGTTTGACACACCCCCATAGGCAAAGTGGGGGAGAACAAGAGGTCACAAGACCAGTCAAGCAAAGCAAAGCAAGCTCAGGGTGGATCACAACGTCACCACACAGTCCGAGCACAAGAACAAGGTCACAAGGCCAGTTCACATACAAGATCATATATAAAGGTAAACAAGCAAGTGCAGGTATAGAAAGATCACAGTACAAGCAAGGTCAAGAAGTAAGCAAGTGAGGCCAAGTAGGCACAAGACCTAGCATCGTACAGAAGCGCTGATGATCACAAGGCGGAAGTGCCTGTGAAAATAGAAACGTGAATGAATGAAGTATGAATGAAGTGAGTACAAATATGAAACCCTAATTGGGTTGTACCCCCTATGGGATACCCCACTATAGCCTACACAAATAAGTAAGCTATAATGTTCTGACACACCCCCATAGGCAAAGTGGGGGAGAACAAGGGGTCACAAGACCAGTCAAGCAAAGCAAAGCAAAGCTCAGGGTGGATCACAAAGTCACCACACATTCCGAGCGCAAGGTCAAGGGCCACAAGGCCAGTTCGCATGCAAGATCATATATAGAGATATACAAGAGGCAAGCAAGCAAGAGCAAGAGTATATATAGGTCAAGGTACAAGCAAGGTCAAGAAGTGAGCAAGTGAGGCAAGACAGGCACAAGACCCAGCTGCGTGCAGCAACACTGATGATCACAAGGCGCAAGTGCCTTGGTGAAGACATCAGCAGTGTTGGCCTCAGAGGCCACGTACGCAAGTCGCAACTGTCCACGCTGCTGCAGCTCACGAGCAAGAAAG